AAGACAGACAGGTGGCAAGGGCCTTGAGGAGAGAGAGGAGGAAATATCACCTATGCAGTCTGTCCAGAGTCATACAAGGCCAAGATGAAGGGGCAGCCTGTGCCGGGCAAAGGCCTAGCACTCACTGGCATGTGTGAGATCTGGTCTGGGAGTGGACTGGTGGGGGGACTTGGGAAACTCCCCTAGTGGGTCATAGCTCCCGCTGGTGAGCACATAATCCAGGCCTGGGGGGTTGGAAAGGCTGGGCAGGCCCCGCTGGCTCTGGGTGGTATAGGGTGGTTTTATAAATTACAAACACAGGCTTCTTAGGGAGTTCCCTGGGCGGCCAGTGTGCACCTGCTATGCTGCCAGCATTGGTGTGGGTTGAAGACTCATCTCCCTTCCTGCTCTTGTGTGTTTCCAATGCTCAGCCTCCTTCTGGGTAGATCCGCTCTCTCATTCCCTGGTTTAACTATCTGTAAGGCCTCTGTCTCTGAGGAGGCAGTAGGAAGACGGATGCTGGGCCCCTGTCCTGCTGCTAATCCCCCCACTTTGTCTCAGCTTGCAGCCTCAGTCCCCGCCTGCTTCCATCTCTCGCTGCTCTGCCTGACTCTCTCTGCCCTTCAGCCATGCTTAGCAAGTGCCCCTCGTGTCATGTAAAAATTTCATTTCATTTATCAAAATTCATCTTGATTCATGCTGTTTCTTTCTTTCTTTTTTTTTTTTTTTTTGCTGGGCCAGGGCAATGCTGTGAACCCAGAACTCAGCGCCGGTCTCCCTCGTGGGAGGCAAGGACCCAGCTACCCGAGCCGTCCGCTGCTGCCTTCGGGGGTCTGCCTCATGGGGAGCGGGGCTAGGGGCTGGGAATGTCTACTGGGCACAAGTACTTCCATATCGGACGTGGGCATTTTTACTGCTAGGCCAAATATAGCCTGTTTTCGTATTTTACATGACGAGTATGTATTGCTTTAATGAAAACAAGGTCTATCAGGTCTTTTTGCTGGGAGGAACAGAAGGCATAACCGAATGTAGCAGGTCAACCCACGGAGAACCTCAGCGCTTGGGCCAAGCAGCCGGGCAGCAACCAGCTCGGACGCGCTGGCCTCTGGCCCCACAGCAAGCCAGGGCCCCAGAGCCACAGCACCCAGAGCCCCAGGATGGGAGTTCAGCCTCCCTCCACCCCGGCCATGCCCCCTCGGAGCCTCTGAGGGCGCACGTGCATGGGGACCCACTCACACATGCGTACAACGACCTTGCAAGCACCCACAAAGGCACAAGCCAGGAGGCCTGGCCTGGTGGTTGGGAGGCCAGGTTGTGCGCAGCTCTCCTGCTAAAGTGTCCCCCGTGTTTTCAGGAGGTCCAGGATCCGTGGACCGAGGTAGGGGCACGGAGACGGCAGGGACGGCAAGGACGGTGGGGCGCGGACGGGATGGGCGGGGTTGGGCGTGTCCGGGTTTCCATGCCACAATCGTCATAGGCTGTCTACTCGGTCCTGCCGTCACAACGGGCTGATCCCGCCTGCCTTAGCAGCCTGGCTGTTGCTGGGAGGCCAGGAGCCCTTGTCCGGGAGCTGAGGAGGTGGGCAGTGGACCAGGACACAGTGAGGACAAGGAGTGTTGGGACCATGGCGTGAACCGGGAGATGGTAGCCAGGCTCCGGTACCCCATGCCATGTACCTGGAGCCCTTTTCTAAGGCATCTCTCAGTTTGCCTGCCTTTTGCTCCAAGGCCCAGGAGCAGCACCGGTGGTGTTGGAGGACATGGCCTCCCTGGACTGGGTTTCGATGAGGAGACAGGTGTGGAGGAGGGGATGGTGGGAGCAGTGGCATGGCTGGGTCAGTTCCCCCAGGACTCCCAAGTGGCCAGACCCCCTCCACTGTGGCCCCACGAGGTATACCCCTTTCCCAGTCGCCTGGAAGTTGTGTGGTGTTCTAGGAGTCCTTGGCAGTGACAGTAGGGGCAGTGGCGACTGGGTGGCCATTTGGGGATGGAAGGGAGTAAGAGAGACATTGTGAGCCAGGTAGGAGGAGAGCTCCCCTCCCCCACGTCCTGTGGCCTCACCATGGTCCCTCTGATAGCAGACGTGGTTAGGAGACCCAGGGAGAGTCTTGGCAGATGGCAGTGGTGATCATATGGAAAGTGGAGTGTGGATAGGGGGGCGAGGGAGTGGCAGGACAGGGCAGCCGAGATGGATGATGGCAGAGAGGACTGGCTACACCTGGGGACTGTAGTCACCCCTGGCCCTGCTGCCTCCCCACTCCTGCCTGAGAACACGCCTTCCAGTAGCCCAGCACAGGGACACGTGTCAGTACCCAGGTGAGGCAGACAGGAAACCAGGCTGGGCTGGTAGCTCAGGAGACATCAAGAATGAGAGCTGCCCCAGCAAGTTCACAGGTGTGTTGAGGATGTAGTGGTTCCGCTTTCTGAGCTTCACTTCCTGTCTCTGCCTGCTTACCTGCTACCCCCTGACTCCTGCCATCTCTGTCTGACCCCTGGCACAGCCCTGTAATAGTCAAGTTTCCCAGTGCTCAGATGTAGGGACATTTAGACAGCCAGGCAGGTTGCACTAGGCTTATGCTGAGTGGCCAAGTGGGCCTGGACATGGGAAGTTTGTTGCTGGTTGGCGCACGGGCTTTGTATGACCAGGTACACAGATCAGGCCATTCGTGGTGGGAGGTCAGTAGTAGGAACCAGGCCATTGACGTATGCTACTCATCTCTCTACCAGCTCTGTAACGAGCCGCCACCCGACTCCTGAGGACTGTGCTGGAATAGACCAGCTGGGGTGAGGATACCCAGCCTGTGCCAGCTGACATGGCAGCATTGCCTTGGAGTCTGTGCTCAGAGGACCACAAGCACGAAGATCAACAGGTGAGGATGAACTTAACACACACAACAGAAGGGCTCAGGATCCCGGAAAGCAAAAGGCATGAAGCAGACGGTTGGGGAGGGGGCACACCAGCACTGGGGTTCAGGTGCCAGCCGTTATCCTCAGTGACTGCCTTGAGTTCCTTGGTGAAAATCCCGGGGAGGGGAGGAGTTGGCTTAAGGACCACCTGCCTTTGTCCCGGTGAATGCTGTTGTGCTCTGTCCCTTCTCTGTCTCCTATGGAAGGCATGTATAGACTGTTTAGGAGTGACTGCCCAGCGTCCAGAGTGACAATGCTTATCTGTACTCTGTTCAGTGGAAACAGTGGAATTCTGTGTGCTGACATGTGTGGAAACCACCTAGCCTTGTCCTCAGTACTGTGCCTAAGTATTCCCTGTGCAAGTCCCAGGGCAGTATGTGTTTCGGGAAAAGCTGACCTCTGTCTAGGGAGCTATGTGTGTGCTGTCCCTGCTCAAGTTGCATGTTAGGAACTGCTGACTGATGTCCAGGGCATTGCCCCTTCCCATTCACGGCTGAGTTTACGCTGTGCACCTGCATTGTTTTGTTTCTGCGGACCGCTCAGTGCTCCTGGTTGTCGTTCCGATGACCTTGGATCCTGCAAGGTGGGGTATGGGCTTCTTTCATCCCATGTGGGAGATCCAAATGGAGATGGGTGACCTCAGAGTTCTTGGCCTCTGAAGGCACTCCAATTCCCCGTGGTCTCCTTGGCAGTTGGGATGTAGACCTTGGAGCTCGTACTGATAGTCCTTGGTGAGGATCTAGGAGTCTTCAGGGTTGGGATACATTCCTCTTCCTGTCTGCCTGCTCCACTCTGGCGTCCCCCCTGCCCTGTGCATATGACCTCCTGTTAAGAGGTTGTTGGGATTGCGACTTGAGCCATTCTAAGGAGTACACTAACAGGAAGCTGTGTCAGAAGTAAGAGCAGCCCAAACTTAATCCAGACAACCTGAAGGGAGATGCAGCATCTCAAATAGAAACCTACCTGTTGTGTCTGTGACTACCCCTTCTCCATTAGCTTTTTTCTCTCCTTTTAGAATATCTGTTGTAATAATGCTTTCATTTCTATGTATGTCTCCTGTATTTAACTTTTTTGTGTTTTCATCTCTTCCTCCTCCCTAATGTCTTTTTGTAAAGTACGTTGATCTAATAGATTTATGTCTAATTCAAAATTGTGCTTTGAAAATACAATAATTAATTCTTTATGGTAGTCTCTGATTAATTACTTCGTCCATTGGTTTGTTTTCTGTTACGCTTGTCATCTGGGAAGATAATTTAGCTTACTGCCTTCCTGGCTGTCGAGATATTTTTAATCTATGAACTCCTTTCCCTACATAATTATCAGCCGTGTTTGGTGGCTTATGAATGGAGAAAGAAGGAAGAATTAAAGAACAAACCTTAGCTTACGTTGTTCCTTGTGGGTTAGGTGTACAACTTTTAAGTTCTACTTGTGTTGTTCTTGCCAGAGATATTTCTCCCTTAAGGAACTTTTTGTGCTTTAAGAATGCATTTGGCTAGCATAAGCCTAGAAGGGAAGAAGGAAGGAAAGTCTTCGCTGTTGGATTCAGCTAAGACTTGTGCCAGGTTAGTTGGTTGGTCAACCCTGCCTAGCAATAGCATTCTCTTTGGGACTCTTGGCTCTCCTGGACTTTTAGGATCGGAGTGTGGGGTTCAAGGAGAAGCCAGTGATCTGTTGTAGTACTGTGTTACACAGAAGAGAATCCGGCTCAGATTCTCCCCCTCAGAATGAGCATGTTAGATGCCTAGTCTTCCTCTATTGCTCTTATTTGCCAAATCATAATCATTTTCTGATTCTCCGGGCATTTCCTCTGCTTTTTGTCTTTCTTATGATGCAAACTCACCTTGCTTCCATTGCTTCTTTGGGTTTGGAATGTTGGCGGTAAGACTGTGCCACTTAGCTCTCATGCCAAGGGCCCTGAATTGCCCCTGTCATAACTTAGTGCTTACCAAAATTTGTTAATGTTTTGCTTCAACTAGAGCAGTAGATTTTTTTTTTTCATGAGTGGCCGTGATTGCAATCTAGAATAAAGGTGTTTGACTTAAGAAACTACATTCAAGAAAGACAGGGATAAACCACACAATTCATAGCCATAAAAAACAAGCTGGATATTTTATTGAAAAATATATAAATTTATTTTGAATATACTTCTATTTTACAGTCACTTAGGAGTATTCTTCATTCTGGAATTTAAAAGAGAAAATCTTATTACAAATTGCTCAGAATCCATATTTTGTGGAAATGTAGGCAACTCATAGGAAATTAACAATAAATTTAGTAAAATCAATATATAATCCATACTTCAAAAAATCATATTAATTAAGGAAAAGAATGTCTTCCAGTACAAAATTTTAAAAGCTTGGTAACAGTTTATTACTTATCAAATAATATTCTTACAAATTCATTGGAGAATCACATTTAGAGACACCCTTCACACACATACACACACACATACACACACACACACACACACGAAGAGGGATAGAAATGCCAGTAATAGCTCAGGTTAGGCCAAAAGTCTGGAATTCAGCCTTCCACTTGAGTGACAGGGGCTCAGATATTTGCGCCATCTCCTGTCTCCGTGAGCACTGACCGCTGCCCCCTTGCCCAGTCCAGCACCCAGCGGCATATTCGCCGAAGGGGCAAACACTCTACTACCTGGCAGAGGCACCAACAAAGGTCAGTGGAAACTATATCTTATGGATTTTGATGTTTCTGTTTTTAGTTTCACTTTTTCAAAAGTTTTTTCTCATATTAGATTCTTCACTGACTCAGATCATATGGCAGCATCATTTTCCTCAAGAATGTTCCTGATTTTCTTTTTCATTACTTCAGTGACACATTAGTCATTCAGTAGCATGTAATTTAACTTCATGGTGTTGTAAATTTCTATTTTTCTTCCTATTGTTGATTTTGTTTTGTGGCTTTTCATTTAAGGGGATGTAAAGTAACTCTGTAATGGAAACTATCATATACAGATGTGAGGATACAATGCAGTATGCATCTCTACTTCCAGATCAAAGATGGACTCCCAATATAACTGTTAACTGTATCTTGTCAATAGCATGCTGGACTCTCTGCCATTGGCCATGCCCACAATGATGAACTTAGGGCTATTTATGAAGAACTATAATATAGTTGAACTCATTGCAGGGGTTTTGGGTAGGGGGTAAGGGAAATTCTAGAGCCTATGGAGCTGTATCATAAATGATAATAATTTTTGAAAAAGAAAAAAAATGTTTTTCATTACCAGTCCAGCATTACAAAAGGCTTAGAGGGAATGAAAAAAGAAATGAAAGACCTGGCTGACCATTATCTAACCCAACTATTTGTGATTCATCACTGAAGTCAGTTAGTTGAAAGTTTATTTTTTTTACAGAAGCTGCAGTGCATTAAATTGACACTTGAGATGACTGTTAATTTTATATTTTTCAAAGGTGATATCCTCAGGTTTATGACACAGCAAACACTTCTGGCCACTTTCTGCTGCTGCAGCAGAAAGGTCGGGAAAACAAAAGATGTGACAAAAGGCCAAATTGTCAAGGTGCTGCTAGTACTTACCGTGTTTTAATGGATGCAAGAGATTTTCTGAAGGTAGACTGGACATCTAACTGCAGCAGCCTAGGAATGTCTGGGTACCCACCCAGCTGGTCCCAGGGCACGCTTATTGGTGTCTTCTCTATTATTGGGTAGCTGGATGTAGACAGATCGGTTCTCCAGATGGCATCCGTCTGGTCTTGGTATCTGGGGAATGAGGGAGGCACAGGCGAAAGTGCACAGCTCCTTTCACTGTTTTTAGAAACTGAACTCACAACCAACTAATCACCCAGATTAGCTCAGACGACACGCCCTCAGACTCGCCATTGCCGCATATCAGAATGATGAGGAAGAGGAAGAAACCGGGGGGGTGGGGAAGACTCAGATTCCACACTTCATCTGAACGTGTCAGCCTTCCACTCACACACCTGATTTTCTTGGCAGAATGCTTATCCTCTTCTATTGGTAACTTTTGATGTGTCTGTTGAGCAAACTCAGCAGAGGCAGCTATCTCATTTTTGTGGGTGATCAATGGAACAGGTTGACTGAGATTCAATTTGTATGTGTCTCTGAGCTATAAAAATTAAATCAGAAAAAGGATGTCACAAAAAAGTCAAAAGATGAGGCATGTTCTTTCTAAATACATGGTTATAATATTTAGAATATTTAGTTATAAAATGTTCCTAGAATTTTAGCTTGCATTATTGTTAGAAATTTAGTTCGTTGTGGTTATGCAACGGGGTGGAGGAATCCACCATAGGGGGAGGGTTTGGGGAGTGGGGGGAATCCCAGTATCTATAAAACTGTGTCACATAATACAATGTAATTAATAATTAAAAAAAAAAAGAAATTAAGTTCGTGCCAGGAATTCTTAAACATATAATCCCAAGGAAAAAACTCAACTTTTGGAAAGTTACTGTCACTCCCCAAACCAGATTGCCAGTAGCCCGATAAGGGGTTGTGGGTCACAGTGAGTGGATGCCAGCACTGAGTGGGATGGCCTGTGCCTGGTGCTGACAGAGCAAGTTGTCTCCCTTTGCATGAACTGAGGGCAGTAAGCCTAGCCAACTGCTGGTTTTGAAGAGAAAAGTAACTGCCCACAATTAGGGAGCAGTGGCTTCAAGAAGTTTCACTTCTGGAGTCTGGTACATGTGGGTGACAAAGATGAGCTGAAATTTTCTGGAGCCTACTCCTATTCTCGTCTTTTTCTCATCTAGAATTTTAACGAATATTCTTGTTGTCAGTCTGGGAGTGTCACTGGTCATGCTATAGTGGCAGGTTGGGCAATGGCCTCTTCATAAGCTGTGTTCACTCAGAATCTCTGAAACAGCCTTATTAGAGCAGGGACCTTTACAAATCTGAGTTAGGGATCTGGATGCGAGATCATCCTGTTTGAGCCAGGATGTCGTTGGATCCTGCATCTGATGGCGTTGGTCTCCTAAGGCCCAGAACCCAGATGCGTACCGAGGGCCATTTGAGAGGTGGAGGCAAAGATGGGAATTCAACAGCTGCAAGCTAAGGAATGCTGAGGATTTCCAGTGGCCCTGCAGTTGAGGGAAGCATGAGACAGTTTTCTCAGAGAATCCAGAAGGAACCAACCCTACAGCATATTGATTTCCTACATTCATGGCCTCTAGAACCATGACAGGTTCTAGAACCATGGGAGTGGCGGGGCAAAAACCATTCTGTCCTGCCTGGGACCGTTTGAATGTTTATGATGTGATTCATACTGCATAGAAAATTTTCAACTTAACAATTAACCTTCTATAGGTCTATTGAATGTCAGATCCACCTGTGATTGCCTTTGACAGGACCAAATCAAATGATTTCCAGGACCATGGGCAGAACACTCCCCGCCCTTGTTCCGTTGAGTTTGTGGCACCTTCTTAGGACATACCTAGAAAACTAACATTCATCATCTCTCAGGTCAGGGCTGCTTCCAGAACTTCACACTTACGTTTTTGTTATTTTTTTTTTTTTTATCACAACACACTGGTCAAAGGGAACAGAAAACACATCACCTGGCTAAATAAGGATATCATTTTCTTCATGCACTGATTCCGTGTCTCTTCTAGAAGCTTCTGCTTCTCAGTCCAGGCACACATCACCTTTTTCTGATGGTCATCAATTTTGCTCAATATGATGTAGAGTTTCTGAGTCTCATAACCCTTCCCAGAGTTTTGGATGACTTTTATTTGATGGATTATATTGTTTCTAAAAAAAATGGACAAGAATTAGTTTGGGCCTAATCAGTGAACTTGTTCTGTTTCACTCATTTCTCATATCATCCCTTCAAACAGAGAAAGATGAGATGGAAACAGAGGTTTTTTAAACTACTAATCTATTTCCTCATGTGAATTAACTTTAGATAATCTATATGATTACTAAATTTTTATTAACTGTTCACAATATTTTAGCATTAAAATATTGCTTATCATTCGAATATATTAAAACCAGTCGGCTCCTGGATTGGATTCTGACACAGACCTGGCTATCAGGGACTGCCTTCTAGATAGATAAATACTTGCAAAATGTTATGGGTCAACAGGGTAGCCACATGAAAAAGAAAAAAACAGTGAAATTTATATTCTACAATAGAAAGAATCAGACTTAACTGCAATACAGGCAAAAAAAAAGGGGGGGGCAATAACCAAGCTTTGAAGCATCTTAATAACAAGTCCAGAAAAAGAATTCAGTAACCTCAGCATGCATAAGGCCTGCAAATAAAGCAGTAAGCATTAGTTTTAAAAATTCACATACATAAACAAATACAAATTGTCTACAAAGCAAATACAGCGAAAGTGGAATTAAAATACCAGTGGGGAAGAATTTGGCAACTTGTATAGAAGAAAAGTGGCTAATTTTCCAATATTTGAAAAGGACAGATAAATCAATCTCACAAAACTTTGTTTTAATAGACAAACGATTGGAGTGGGGGGGGTCCTTTACAGGGTTCTTCAGACTGTAAGAAGACACTTAGCCTTGCCCACAGTAAACAAGCACAAATACAAGCGATGGAATTCTACGTGTCACCTGTCATGCCAATCTTTCAGACGTGTTTCTATTTGTTAGGGAGGACATTTGAAGCGGTGGTTCAGAAGGGGTGTTCCCATAAGGAGCATGGGAGTTCTTGGACTGCATGCCTGCCTCCTTCTCCCAGTGCAGCTTCCTCTGAGTGCACTAGGGGGCAGCAGGCGATGGCTCAACAAGTTGCATTTTCACTGCCCACGTGGTAAAAGTGAATTGGCTTCAGCTTGGCTTAACAGCCCCAACTGCTAAGCGTAAATCAGTGATGGGAGCTCTCTCTGTCCATCTGCCTTTCAAGTAGATAGAAAGGAGCATTTACACTCTACTTTGTTAAAGAATATACATTTGAGAAGCAGAGGGAATTCCCATTCTCTAGGTTCAATTCCTGCAGCACTGAGGGAGCAGTGAGCTGGGAGCTGTGAACTCAGTCCAGTGCTCCCCGATAGTGGCAGGAACCCAGTCACCCGTCCATCACCTCTGCTTTCCAGGTGCACATTAGTCGGAACCCTGAAGAGAATCAGGAACTAGATCCATGATTAAACACAGTTACCCTGACATGATGTGAGCATGCTAGCCTGTGTCTTAGCTGCTAAGAAATACATCAGTCAACATCTCCCAGTTTTTAAATCATACATGCTTTGGGGCAAACACTGGATGCTGTGAGGCAAGCTGCTGGACAAACCAGTGGCTTGGATGTCCACTTTCCATGTCAGGGTACTGAGAGTTGATAGCCATGCCTTCTGCTTCCAGCCTGCTGCTGACGCACACCCTGGAAGGCAATGGTGATGGTGCAGCTTTGGGTTGGGCCACCTGTGAGGATTTTTTTATTCTTAGCTTTTATGTGGTCCTGGGCCCTGGCACACTTCTGTCCCACGTGGGCATTTGGGGAGTGAACCAACAGATGCAAACGTTCGCGCTCTCTCAGATGAATTTGAAAAATTAATGTAGTGTTGATTTTTTTTTTATCTTAGGAGGTTTATTCCAGCGGGGCAGGAAAAGGGGAAGGGGGGAAGGGAGGCCAGAAGGAAGAGAGAGGAGAAGAGCAAAGAAGAGAGAGAGCCATGTTGATTATTTTTTAAAATAAGCAGAATGAAATGGAAATCCTCTGTCATCTGGTGAAGTGAAGGTGAAAGGAGTGCAGGATAGTGAGCAGGCATCTCGTATCTTTTGAGCAAAGATGATCTTTTGAAAATCATCCCTGACTCACAGGCTCTAGCATCTCTGCCCGCGAGGTGAATACATGAGATGGATTTTGTTGCCATTTCTTCTTCCACTACACAGGCGTCCATCCTGCACGTCTGCTATAAGAGATTCTTGCACAACGTATCATCTAACAAATACGAATATGCTTGTAGGGCAATGAGAGGATATTTCATATCAGGACTTCACAGGAACAGCGGACATAGAGCAACTAGACCACTGGGGAATTACCTACCTGACTCGCTGGATCAGCCTGTAGGCAGCGTACTTGTGTAACAGGTGTCCCAGCCGTGCCGCGTCTGTGTGCAGTGTCTTGATGATAAGATTCCTAGCTATCATGTGTACATGGGAAGGAAGTCCAGGAGTTCTCACGGCCTCATTTAACAGTGTCAGGTTCTTTCTCTGAGCTGACACATCAACAAAATAGGTCATCCTTTCAAGTTCTTGAAGGGGCCCCACCATCTTGGCTTTGTCGGAATCTGAACGTGAAGTTACCATCGAGGGCTTTTCTATCGGGGGGAATCGTGATTTCTGGTCCCATTGTGGCTTCTGTGGTGTTATCAGTAACTGCGGAGTCGGGGAAGGCAGAGGTTTCCCTGGCTTCTGAAGTGCGTGCAGGATCAGTGGGGTCAGTTGCTGCCCAAGGGTGGAGGCGGCCGGTAGAGAGGGGGACTGCTCTCTGGGGGCATGGTGGTGTTCCAGGGGCTTCCCAGCGATGGATAAATGTCTGGACTCCTTGAGCTCTTCGGGGAAGGACTTCCCAGGTGTGAGAGGACCCCAGACACTTGGAATCTTTGCAGGGATAGATGTCATTCCAGATGTTACAGGCCACCTGGGTGTGGGAGTGCCCTCCAGTACTGGAGGTGGCCTGGCAGCTAAAGCATCCTTAGACAGAAATAACTGCCCAGAGCTAAGAGCTTCCAGCTCAAGGGGCTGCTCTGGAGTGGGAGGGGTCCCAGATACTGGAAATAGCTCTGGAAATGCAGACATCCTTGATGGCCGTGCCTGCATAGAAGTGAATGGAAATTCCATTGCCTGAACTGGCTCAGGAGTAGGGGTGGTCCCAGTTGCCTGGGTGAGTTTAGCCTGTTCTTGAGTGCTAGGAACCCTGAACAGCGGGGTCTGTTGTATATGGGGTGAGATTTGCATTGCCTGGATCTGTTCAGAAGTGCCAGCTGCCTTTATTGCCAGGGTGTCCCGAGGGGCAGTAGGGGCTCTCAGTGTTAGAGTTGGTCTCCTGGTGAGAGGAGGGTGCAAAGCCTGCGCCTGGGTCTCAGCCTGTTTAGGTATCAGAGCGAGCCCCAGGGCTTCGGCCTGCTGGGGGATCAGGGTTGTCCCCAGGAACAGGGTTTTTGCAGGAGTTGTTGTCCCCAGGCCCTGGGTCTGCTGGGGGATTGGGCTCTTCCCCAAGAAATGGGCCTTTACAGGAGTTATTGTCCCCAGGGCCTGGGCCTCCTGAGGGATCAGGGTAGTTACAAAGGCCTGAGCCTGCTCCTGTGTCAGGGTTGTCCCCATGTCCTGAACCTGCTCTGGTGTCAGAGCTGTCCCCAGAGCCTGAACCTGCTGGGGGATCAGGATCATCTCCAGGGCCTGGTCTTCCTCTGGGGTCAGAGTTGTCCCCAGTGCCTGGACCTGCTGGGAGGTCAAGGTTTTCCCCAGGGCCTGGGGCTCCTGGGGTATCAGGGTTGTCTCTGGGGCCTGGTCCTCCTGGGGAGTCAGGCTTGTCCCCAGGGCCTGGGGCTCCTGGGATGGTAGGGTGATCTCCAAGGCCTGGTCCTGTTGGTTGTTCAGAGTTGTCCCCAGGGCCTGGTCCTCCTGGGGGATCTGTGTAATCCCCAGAGCCTCAATCTGCTGTGGGGTCAGAGTTGTCCCTAGGGCTTGGGCCTCCTGGGGGGTCTGGTCCTCCTGGAGGGTAAGGGTTTCCCCCTGGGTCTTGTCCTCCTGGTATGTCAGGGTTGTCTCCAGGTCCTGGGCCTCCTGAGGGATCAGGGTTGTCCCCAAGGCCTGGTCCTCCTCTGGGGTCAGTGTTGTCCCCAGGACCTGGTCCTCCTGGGAAGTCTGTATAGTTCCCAGGGCCTGGGCCTTCTGGGGGATCAAGGCTGTCCCCAGGGCCTGGTCCTCCTCTGGGGTCAGTGTTGTCCCCAGGGCCTGGTCCTCCTGGGGTGTCAAGGATTCCCCCAGGATCTGAGCCTGCTGGGAAGTCAGTATAGTCCCCAGGGCCTGGATCTGCTGGGGAGTCAGAGTTGTCCCCAGGTCCTGGGCCTGCTCTGGTGTTAGGGTTGTCCCCAAGGCCTGGACTTGCTGGAGGGTCAAGGTTGCCTCCAGGACCTGAGCCTGCTGGGAAGTTAGTATAGTCCCCAGGTTCTGGGCCTGCTGGGGGGTCAGGATTTCCCCCAGGACCTGAATCTCATCTGGAGTCAGGGTTGCCCCCAGGATCTGAGCCCGCTGGAAGGTTAGTATAGTCCCCAGGGCCTGGACTTGCTGAGGTGCCAGAGTTGTCCCCAGGTCCTGGATCTGCTGTGGGGTTGGAGTTGTCCCCAGGTCCTGGGCCTGCTGGGGGGTCAAGATTGTTCCCAGGGACTGGGCCTGCTGTGGGGTCAGGATTGTTCCTAGGGCCTGGGCCTGCTGTGGGGTAAGGGTTGTCCCCAGGTTCTGGGCCTGCTGTGGGGTCAGGATTGTCCCCAGGTCCTGGGCCTGCTGTGGGGTCAAGATTGTCCCCAGGGCCTGGGCCTGCTGTGGGGTCAAGATTGTTCCTAGGGCCTGGGCCTGCTGTGGGGTAAGGGTTGTCCCCAGGTCCTGGGCCTGCTGGGGGGTCAAGATTGTCCCCAGGGCCTGGGCCTGCTGTGGGGTCAAGATTGTTCCTAGGGCCTGGGCCTGCTGTGGGGTCAGGATTGTCCCCAGGTCCTGGGCCTGCTCAGGTGTCAGGGTTGTCCTCAAGGCCTGGACCTGCTGTGGGGTAAGGGTTGTCCCCAGGTCCTGGGCCTGCGTAGGTGTCAGGGTTGTCCTCAAGGCCTGGGCCTGCTGGGGGGTCAGGATTGTCCCCAGGGCCTGGGCCTGCTGGGGGGTCAGGATTGTCCCCAGGGCCTGGGCCTGCTGGGGGGTCAGGATTGTCCCCAGGGCCTGGGCCTGCTGGAGTGTCAGTGTGGCCTCCCAGGGCTGGGCCTGCTGAAGAGTTTGAATTCTGCCCAAGGCCTGGGTCCACTGAGGGATCAGAGCGCTGCCCAGGGGCTGGGCCTCCCTAGGAGTCAGGATGAGCTGAGGAGTGATGTTTTTGTGCTCTGTGAAGGGCTGTGGGTAGATGTGAAGGTCCCCAGGTAGTAAGACCTGAGGAGAAGGTGGAGGAGTGCTTGGTAGGGAGTGTGTCTCGGGCGGGAGCCCTGAGACTCCATGGAAGGTTCTGCCTTGGGGTAACTGGGATTCCTGTGCTGTGCCTTTGGTCTTATCTTCAGGTTTCTTCCCCTTGGTCTTCTCATGGCCTGCTGCCATCTCCCCTTGTCTGTCAAGGCGCTCTGCCCCCTCGCGTAGCTTCTGCTTCTCCTCCTTCTTCCCTCTTTCTTTCTGCTGGTGATGTCTCTCCGCCTTCAGATCCAGGCTCAGCTCTCCCCTCTCTCTCTGCATCCCTTGCTCTTTCGCTGTGGTCTTCCGTGCTTCTGTTATCATATCGGCTTCCTTCTGGAGACTGGGTTTGTCCTGCATTGTCCCTTGACCTTCTTGTCCATATTTCTCCTGTTTAGGCTTTGCTTTCTTGTGTTCTTTTCTTACTGTTGAGACTGTTGCAGCATCTCCCTCACTTTCTATTTCAGCCAAGATCGTTTCTATGACATTTTTCATTACTGGGTCTATGTTTTCATTTGAGAGGAAAGTGCTGATTTCAGACTTGGCAGTAGTTGATGACTTCTCATCCTGTGGTGCTGGCATGAATGAATCCGACTTTTTGGATAGCCTACGTTTCTCTCCATCGGCTCCTTCCTTTTTCGCAACTCTGAATTTCCTCACCATTTGAGTCACGATCTCAGCCATTTTTTGGAAGTATTCATCCATCTTTGCTTTTATTGTTTCAAAGTTTTCCATTTCTGCCCTTTTCAGTAAGCTCTCCTTCCTTGGCATGGTGTTTTCATCAGCAGGCTTGTCTATGTTGTTAATTTTCTCTTTAAGGAAATCCATTAAGGCTTTCTGAAATGATTCCGTGTTACTCTGATCACCTTTGACCTCTGGAGTTGCCAGCACCCTTTCAGGTTGTGAAGAATCTTCCTGGGTATTTGGGCGGGATTTCTCAAGTTGAGGGGATTTGGGTTGCTTGCTGAAGGCTGGACTTTCCTTAGGTTCTCTCCTCCATATTTTGCTTTTGCTCATTGTTAAGGGGATGTCCTGTGTCTTTCCTTGAACTTCAACTTTCTGTGGCATTGATGGTTGCTTCACTTGAGCCATACTCAATGGACCTGCTAGGCTCCTAGTCCATTTGTTCGCTGACTCAATGGGGGGCTCTTTCAGGTCTGGCAAAATACGCCCCTTTTCCAAGGGAGATTCAGTTTTGAATTTCCTGGCCTGCTCTGCCTCATAAGGTGTTCCACTTTTGGCATCTTGATTTTTGGTTTCACTGAAAGGGTAATATTGGCTTTCTGATTCAGAGGATGTCTTTGGTTTTATTCCTTCTCTTTCGTTCTCTGTTTCTCCTAGTTCATAGTATTGATTCGTTTTGGCCTCAGTCAGTGTCTTTTCCCCACCATCCTCACCAACATTTGATCCAGGGCGGTCGTGGATATACAGGCTTTTTGTGTGTTCTCTTCTCTCAATTTGATAGTAGCCAGTCCTTTCGAACACATAGGCATCCACTCTCTGCCTGGATGTTTTCCCTCCAGGGGCGTACTCATAAGGCCAGGAAGCTCTTTTGGTCTTGCCCTCAGATTGGAGGTGCTGTTCTTGAGATAACTCTGACTTCACTTCAGTTGGGGCTTTCAATAAAAGATCTGTCTCTGAATATTTGGGTTTTTTTGGAAGGGACTTAAATAAAGTATTGTCAAATTCTTTGGCTAGAATGCTGCCTAGACTGCCCTTTGTATAATCATCTTTGACATTAGTCGTGGCTGTGGAAGATGATTCATATTGTTGATCTCTGCCACTTTTTAGTTGAATTATTTCATACTGTTCTTCTCTCTCTTGAAGCTTTCGTTGCAGCTTCTCATTTTGCTCACTGAGGTCATAAATTATGCGTCGCGAGAGTTCTCTTTCTGCTTCATACTTCTGGAAAAATGCACTGTCATTGACGATGTTAGAAATATTTAATTGCTCAGCTGCAGCACTCAAGGCTTTAGAGAGATTTAGGATAGTTGATGAGATGTATTTGATAGCAGTGTTTTCTAATTTGGTAAACATGGCGGAGCCTATGAGTTCTTGCAGCATATTTTGGATTTCGAAAACCTTTGTGTTTGTTGTGTATTGATCAGCAATCATTTGATCTGGTCTTAATGCGTATGCTGTTGCGGGTCGTTTGATACATCTGTCTTTCCAGGTTTTCCATAGTGCACCTCTAGATACTGGAGTGGGGAAAAGGCATAAAACAGACAATGAGTATCAGATTCGGCTTCCTGCTAATGTGCTTGCGAGGATAGTGGAGTACGGCCTAAGTGTCTGGGCCCCCACCACCAACGTGGGCAACCAGAGAAAAATTGCAGCTCTGATTTCAGTATGGTCCAGCAAATTTGGGAGTAAACCAGTGACTGGAATATGTCTTCCTCTTTGTCTCTCCCTCACTCTGTCATTATCTTTTAAGTAATCACATCTTTGGAACAAGAAGAGAAAGAAAGAAAGAAGGAAGGAAGGAAAGAAAGAAAGAAAGGAAAAGAAAGAAAGAAAGAAGGAAGGAAGGAAAGAAAGAAAGAAAGAAAGAAGGAAGGAAGGAAAGAAAGAAAGAAAGAAAGAAAGAAAGAAAGAAAGAAAGAAAGAAAGAAAGAAAGAAAGAAAGAAAGAAAGAAAGAAAGAAAGAAAGAAAGAAAAGCAATTAGTTCCAAAACAAATTGTTTTTGTAAGACTGTCTTCTTTGGTCACCTAGAACTGCTTCTAGAACTATAGAGGTGATCTCACACTCGATCTTAGCCAAAAGGCCGAGAAGCAATAGAGGCGATCTCAATTGTGGGATCATTAACTTTAACTGGGAGGTTTGGGATTAGATACCATGCAAACACAAAAATTCCCCTGCTTTTAGGGATGCTTGATGCTGTCAAATTTCTCTTTCGGGTTTTTTGCTCTCTTTTGTAACTTGTCTTGCTGATTGGAATCTTTGGTTCTCTCTAAAAAGGCCATAAATCAACAGACAAAAATTTCCAGAATGGCTAAATGACAGACAACAATCCCATCTATTCTCCCCCATCAAAACAGTGGTTCAAATTTCTGTGACCCTGCCACCCATATGGGAGACTTGGGTTGTCAAACTTGCATCAAAAGAAAAAGTCCCATAAGATCCAACTACAAGTGACACACCTTGGATTACAAAACAAGATAAGCTGGAAGTAAATTGACAAAAAAAAAGTTCACTTGGAGCTGAAGAGACTATATTAATATATGACAAAGCAGATGTTAACACAAAAATCATGGTTCTGGAAACAAAAGGGCCAGTTCATGAGCAATCTGTAATGATTGTGAACACATACACAAGGCACAAAAGAGTTCGGAGCTCCTGGTTCTGTTTCAGATCAGCTCAGCTCCATTTGAGGAATGAACCAGTGGATGGAAGACCTTTTCTCTACATATCTCCTTCTCTCTGTAAATCTGCCTTTCAAATTAAAAAAAAAAATAGATCTCTTAAAAAATATTAAAATAATTTAACTCTACAATCAGCATGTGAGGAGTTTTTTTAAGTTTTTATTTCTTTTTGCTCTGATTCCCTTTCTTTTTTTTTTTTTTGTATTTTTATTGTTATTATTTTCCATGCTACAGTTTTGTAAGTATAGGGATTCTTCCCTCCACTTCCCATTTCTCCCTCCCTATTCTCTCCCTCCACCATTTGCCCCCGTATTATTATAATGGCATGGTCGCAAGTCCAACATTCTAATATTTAAGTGTAACATGGCATTGTAGGTATGGGTAAGGGAAGGAAATCTAGCATCCTATTGTCAAGTTGTAACAGTTTCATTGGGAGTCCTCCTCTTATTCAGGAGCATGTGAAATTTATGATCTATAAATTATACCTCCACCAAGCTACATTTTATGAAAAAAAAAATCAAACTACATTTGCAAAATCACAAAGGAAGTTACCTGCTTTTTTCTTTTGAGTCTTCTTGTCTTTCAGGAAGGTGGAACTCATGCTGCATAGTAAGTTGACATTGTTCTCAATGGCTCTCAATGTGTCTGGAAACATCTCCATTCGTACTATCAAGTGGTAGTGCTCATCAATATCAGTTGTAGTTATGTCAGATAAAATAGCATCTTGAAGAGAGGGAAAAAAAATGTTTTGTGTTTTGATTAAACAATAGTAATCATATAGCTTTGTAATATCAGGTAGCTACTTAGTACGATTATGTTGCACTTACCACTATCCTTTATAAATTTTATAAATGAGAAAGTTAAAGATTTGGCTGAGAAAGCTGAGTGGTAAGTCTACTGAATCATGTTTGAAGGTGTCTATTTGGTTTCAGTCCTAACTGCAAGGGAAGTAGATATCTGAAATATGAGTAGATGTCATCACGTATATATAACCCCAATCTGCAACCCAAATATAACCCAGCTCTATGAACCCAAATCTATAAACCCAAATAAAACTCCTGGGCCCAGGGCAATGGATCAGTGCTAAATCCTTGCCTTCCACACATTGGGATCCCACTTGGGCGCTGGTGTGTATCCTTGCTGCTCCTCTCCCAATTCAGTTCCCTGTTTACAACCTGGGAAAGCAGTAGAGAATGGCCTGAAGCCTTGGGCTCCTGCACCCCTGTGAGAGACCCAGAAGAAGATCCTGGCTCCTGGCTTCAGATCAGCTCAGCTCCGGCCATTGCGGCTACTTAAAGGAGTGAACCAGAGGATGGAAGATCTTTCTCTCTGTCTCTCCTTCTATCTGTAAATCTGCTTTTCTAATAAAAAAAATTAATATTTTTTTTCTTTAAAAGATATCCTGATGGGGTTGTGGGTGGGGCGGGTGAAGCACCATTTTGGCATGAATTGCAAGATTGTCCTTGCAGAGTCAACACCCCATATCAAAGGGCCACTTGGAGCACCAACTGCTCTACTTCTAAAATTCTCTCTTCCTGTGAAATGTGAGTAGAAATGCAACTGAAGTGCTTGGGTCCCTGTCACCAATGTCAGAGACGGCAGTGGGGTCCCAGGCTCTGAGCGGGACCATCCCGGGCCATTTGGCATTTTGGGAATGAGCCAGTGAATCGAGCACTCCCCATCTGCACGTCAATCCCTCTCTTCCTCCCTCTATCCCTTTCCTCCTTTTCTGTGCTTATTTATCACACGCATGTTCATTCTTTCATTCAACCAATGTCTGTCCATATGGATATTGCCCTATTTCAGTGAACACAGCATTGAATGCAAGTTCCCTAATTTCAGTACTGCTTCCATTGATTAAGAATAAAGGAAATAAAAGGTAAAAGTTGTGTGATGTATCAGATACTATTGATATAGATACAAATAAAGGTAAGGGGTAACAGAGTATAAGATGATGGGGAATGGGGATGTTTGGAAAACACATCAACTTAAGACTAGAACGAGACATGATGATATGGTGAGAACGTCCCAGGCAAGCAAGTGTAAGCGTACAGACAGAGTGCTGGAGCTTTGCTGGTAAACTGGAAGAGAAGCAAGGAAGCCTGAGAAACTGGCGCTTGGGGAACTGATCTATTCTGTCCTTGCTGTAAAACAGCACACTTTCTTAACCACCTCCCAAGTATTGTTCTCTTTTAAGATGACCGGCCCTTCACAATTTATTGATTTTCTGAATATGGCTTTTCTGGAAACTTACTCCATTCTTCTAACCAGGCCAGAATGTAGGCAAGTGTCTTTTCTCTGTTTTCAGCATTCTTGGTATAGGTAGCCACACTCTCCAAAAATGTAGTTCTCTGTTTTCTCATATGTTCTTTAAGGAAGATACTCTTTATAGAGGGTGGGCTAGAACCAAGATTGTAGCGTTCCATTATTCGATCCACGTTGCTCATTATGTGATCCATCTGTGTTTTAAGGTCCTAGAGGAAAAGAAGGAACTAAGTAAACAATGAAATCATGAAACTTTATTGAAAGAAATTTAAGACATGTCAATAAATGGAGAGTACACCATACTCATGGACTGAAAAAAAAAAAGACAATCACATAGCTCACCAAATTAAACAAACTCAATACAAATATGGTAAAAGTTCTGATTTTTTTTTTTACAATGTATTGTAAACTTCTCAATCGAGTTCCAGAAATTGTTTAGAAGAGTAAACAGCTAAGACTTTTCAAGACACTATCAGGGTAAAAACATTTGATAGTGTTGTTGAAGGTTAAAGGAAATAGGCTGGTTAATATTATGATAACATACGGAGGCATGATACTTTTACTAAGCACCTTTTCTAAAGTTGTGGGAAAGAATAAATTTTTCACAAATGGCTCTGGACAATCACTTTCCCTTTTGGAAAACATAGTAGATTGCACTTCTACCCCAGGCTTTCACAGAAAACGGTTTAAAGGAGCCTAAAGACAAATGTGAGAATTAAAAGTATAAATGATCCTCGGAAGTACTTATAAGTTTAGGTGGCAAATGACCCACCACTCCATCCCCACCCTGCCCCACCCCACAAGCCAACTTGTGTCAACCTGTTAAATAGATTTAAAAAGACTTGTATAAGCTGATGTGAAGTTATTGCAAAGCTATAAAGCTATAAAACAGCAGATGCAATAGAAAATCTGTTATATGTTACTTTTCATGTATGAAAAGTGATGCTATGATACATTGCACCTGAATCTATTCATTTACACAAAAGAAATAAAGGTAAGTGAAAGCTAGATGTGTGTGGGGAGGGAGGGTGGTGGAAAGAAAGATTAAGAAGAGAATAGTAAAGACGAGAAGAGAGTGAACTTTTCTACATACATATTTTCATAGATTTGGACTTTTATCACCATAGTCTCATATCACTACCTGCCACTTAGGCATGCATCTGGGATAATTCTAACGCTAAGAACTAAGATTGTGTAGACGTGAATACCATAAGTACACCAAGAAGAAACAGAAACCAGAAAACAGTATTTTGACTGGACAACAAAGTTAATACCCAGGCACTTGGTACGTAAAATATGCACAAATCAGTAATTGGGTTTCTCACCAGAGTGTAGGTTAGTGATTTTGAAACTATGAGTATGCTAGAAATGAAAAATGCATGGTGTGTCACAAAAATTGGGCTTTTCATTGCGGTTTTGATTTGTGTTTCCCCACCGCTAATGAGGTTGAATTTTTTTTTCATGTATTGTCAAGAAATACATAGCTAAGACATATTTCTTTTGGGAATTGTCTGTAGAGCTCCTTTCCTGTTTGTTAACTGGGTTATTGATAAACTCTGAATATTCATACTTTTCCAGACAAGTCGTTCATATTTTCTTTACTCTGTTGGCTATCTGTTCACTGTGCTGCTTGTTTCCATTGCTGCACAAAAACGTCTGAGTTTGAACGTTATCTGCTTTGTCTGGCTTCACTTTGTTGCCTGTGCTTTGAGTGTCTTGCCCGAGAAGTCATAACTATACCAACGTCTTGAAGTATTCGCTCGGTATAATTTTTCATCCACGTTGGAAATTTAGGTCTTTGACCCATCTTGAAAAAAATTTTGGTAGGTAGTGAGAAGCAGGGATCTCATTTTACTCATACACACATACGCATATGTATGTGAATAAAAGTATGTGTATATATTTACTTTTGCCAGCACCATTTATTGAAGAGATTATCCTTTCCCTGTGTGTGGCCTGGGCACCTTGGTGAAAACCATTTGGTCCTGTGTATATGAATTAACTTCTGTGCTGTCTATTCTGTACCACTCCATCTATGGGGATCTATTAGCTTTCATTTGAGTGCTGTGCTGTTTTTCATTACTATAGCTTTGTAGTGTAGTATGCTTTGAATTCAAATCGTCTGGTGCCTCCATCTTGATTTCCTTTTTTAAAAAAAAATCCATTTATTTAGGAAGATAATGTTATAGAGAGAGTCAGAGAAGTTTTCCATCTGCTGATTCAAGAGTCGGGGACTTCACCCAGGACTCCCACATGGACTTGATGCTTTTATCAGGGAGCTGGATCATAAATGGAGCAGTATGGACTCAAACCAGCACTTCTGTGGGACAATCTGTTATGTTATAGCAGCAGCTCCAGCCAGCCAGCTTGGTTTCTGTTGTTCAGAATTCCTTCTGCGTATTCTGGATCTGTTGTGATTCCTTTATAATTCCTATATAATTTACATCAAAATGGTTGCATCTGGAGAATATGATGTTGAGTGAAATAAACTCAACCCAGAAATACAAATACCATATTTTCTTAGATGTGAGAGGTAAAACTTTTGAAAATTTAAAAAAAAACAACAACAAAGAAATGTCTCCATGTAAAGCTTTGCTTTATATCTTTGTCAAATTGCTAAGAATATGATATGCTACTATAGTTTTTATATGTTGGTCATTTTAAAATTCACTGTATCAATAAAATTGACATCTCTTCATTTGATTTCTGGTTTTATGTTTTATCTACTAATGTTGAATTATGGTCTTTTTACTTTTTACTTGTAGTGCCATTTACTTAGTGAAACAATTGCACCTTTCAGTGAAATAAATTAAAATATGCCTTCTCAAAAATTAATAGGAAAGAAAGTAGGAGGATGTTAGAAGCATTATATTCTTAGAAATATATCCACAAACCATGCTGAATCTGTTCTCTGAATTGATACCACATTAACATGGATAGAATTGGGTTTCCTGCTGTTGGATAAATTCATTTCAAATTAAAAACAAAAAGAGAACCTGTCGCGACAGGACTGGAAGGTAAAATATCAGTGTAAGGCTGCACTCTACATACACATACGGACAGGTAGACATGTAAGTGCGAGCGTGTTGGATGCCTAGGTTAATGTACAGCCTTGTATTTCTTATCTCGGCTGAGATGGTCCACAAGCAGTGATCAGCAAGAGTATTTCGCATACCTCTCCCGAAGTCTGATGTCTAAACATTCTCCAACACAAAGAAGTAGAGAAGTTGTGACTCTGAGACACAGAGTGTACAAAAGGAGCCTGGGTTATCTTACATTTCCAAAATAGAAGAGACAGGCGAGGGAGACAGATGACAGATTGACAGATATTTGTTGAATTCGTCCAGGAGTCCATGTGCAGCAATCCCTAATGAACAGACATGGAACAATGAGATGCACAAAATAATGCTGTCTCTGGATTAAAATCACGGAATAGACACGAGTCCCAATTAAGTGGAAAATAGGTATTTTACATACACAGAGAATTTCTACTTTCCAATTGCTTTCATGAACTGCACTACTGAAAACATGGAGATATGGATAGATGTTTCATATACTGGTTTTATTTTATTTGGACATATTCCCAGCAGTAGGAAGTCTGAATCACATCGTTAGACCTATTTTCATGTATCTGAGGAATCTCCATGTTGTCTTCTGTAGCATCTGCACTAGTTCCCATTCCCACCAGCAGTGGAGTACAGTACCTGTGGCCCCACATCCTGGCCAACATTGATTGGTTATTGGTTTCTCTGTGTGTCAGGGCCCTTCTCCCTGCGGTTAGGTGGAACCTCGTGCTGTGTTTTGTCTGCTTTTCCCTGACAGCTGGAGAACCTGAGCACTCACAGGTCTGTTCACCTTTTGAATTTCATGCTTTGGAAAATAAAAATGTCTGCTCACGACCTTTGCCCACTTAATTGTACTTTCTCTTATTCCTGTTGAATTTCTGGAGTTCTTAAAAAAAAAAAAAAGAAACCTTGGATATTAATCTTCTATCAGTTGTGTAGTTTGCAAATACTTATTCTCGTTCTGTTGATTGCCTCTTACCTTTATTGATGGCTTCCTGATAGCTTCCTTTGCAGTGCGGAAGCTTTGTAGCTTATTGCAATCCCATTTGTTTGTTTTTGCTGTCATTGCCTCTGCATCTGGGGTCTTTTCCAAGAAGTCTTTGCTCATGCTTAACTTTGCAGTGTTCCTGATGCTTCTCTCTAGTAATTCGATGATATCAGATCACAGACTTAGATCCTTGATCTATTTTAAGTTGATTTTTGTATAAGGTAAAAATCTAGTTCTGCATGTATTGATCTATTTTCCTTTCTCTATAGATTGATTTTAGTTCACTCGTCAGAATTTAGTTGACTATAGACATTATGGTTCACTTCTGAGATTCTGTTCTGTTCCATTAATCTTCAGGTCTGTTTTTTGTACCAGTACAAGGCTGTTTTGATTACAACTGCCATATAGTACATATCTTTAAATCTGGTAATATAATACTTCCAGCTTTGATTGGTTTTTAAGATTACCTTAATATTTTGAGTCTCTTGTGTTTCTATATTAATTTTTCTATATTTGATAAGTATGTCACAGTTATTTTGCTGAGGATCACTTTGAATCTGTAAGCTGCTTTCAATAGTACGGACATTTTGATAATATTCTACAAATTCACAAACATGGCATATTTTTCCATGTTTCAGTGTCTTCTACTTTTTCTTCTTTTATATTTTGCAGTTTTTACCCTAGAGATTCCTCATATCTTTGATCAAATTTATTTCAAGATATTCAAATTTTTGCAGTTATTGTGAATGAAACTGATCTTACAAGTTCTTTCTCAGCCATGAGATTGTTTACGCATATAAACACTATTGATTTTTGTGTATTGATTTTATAGCCCACAACCTTGCCAGACTCTCTTATGAGTTAAAGAAATGTTGAACTCAAAGAAGGAGTTTGGGGGCCTAGTGCAATGGCTCAGTAGCTAAATCCTTACCTTGTCAATGCTGGGGTCTCATACAGCTGCTGGTTCACGTCCCGGCAGCCCTGCTTCCCATCCAACTTGCTGCTTGTAGCCTGGGAAAGCAACAGAGGATGGCCCAAAGCCTTGGGACCCTGCACCTGCATTGGGAGGCCAGGAAGAAGTTCCTGGTTCCTGGATTCAAATTGGCTCAGCTTCAGCTATTGTGGCCACTTGGGGAGTGAACCAGTGGATGGAAGATCTTTCTCTCTCTCTCCTTATCCCCGTAGATTTGCTTGTCCAATAAAATCTTAAGAAGGATGAAGAGGAGGAGTTTAGGAGGATCCTCTGTCTTTCAGTTGCTGTGAATAGATTCTCAAGAATTGTAATTAGTTCTTGAAAAGTCTGGTAGAACTCAGCGGGTAACCCATTTGGTCTTGGAATTTCCTTTGTTGGGAGAGTCTTTATTATTTATTCATTATATGTTCTAGTTATTGGTCTATTTCTGTTTTCGATATCATCATGACTCAATTTCAGTGGGTTTTGTGTATCTAAAAATCTATCCATTGCTTCTAGATTTTTCAATTTATTGACACATAGCTGTAATAATTCCTGATGGTTCTTTTTATATCTGTGGTGTCGTTATATTTTCCTTTTCATCTTTGGCTTCATTGGTTTGGATCTTCTGCCTCCTTTTTTTTTTTTTTTTTTTGATAAGTTGGGCCAGTTTTGTATTGGTCTTGCTAATTTTCAAAAAAAAAAACCAACTCCTCAACTCACTGTTCTTATGTATCATTTTTTGTTTCAATTTTTTTATTTCTTCTCTAATTTTAATTCTTTGCTAGTTTGGGTTTGGTTTGCTGTTACTCTTCTCAGGTCCTTGAGATGTACTGATACATCATTTATTTGTTGCCTTTCAGATTTCTTAATAGAGGCACTATTTGTTGAACTTCTCTCTTAGTACTGCTTTTGCTGTTTTTTTTTTTTTTGATATGTTGTTATCATCTTCATTCGTTTCCAGGAATGTTTTTATTTCCCTTTTCTATTTCTTCAGTTCATACTGTAGCATGTTTTCTACAATTTCTTAGAGCTGCTGGCTTACAGCTTCATTTGCTCCTGTTCTAGCTCCCTGCTACTGGCCTGGAAAGGGAGCAGAAGATGGCCCAACTAGTTGGTCCTAGATCACTGATGTGGGAGACCCAGATGAAGTTCCTGGTTCCCGGTTTCAGCCTGGCCTAACACTGGCCACTGTGATCATCCTAGGAGTGAACCAGAGGAGGGTGGAAGACTCTGTGGGGTGTGTGTATGTGTGTGTGTGTGTTCCTCCCTCTCTCTCTGTAACTCTGTTCTTCAAGGTGCCATCTGTAAATTCCTCATTCATTACTTACATCTCTGGCTCGAGTGACCTGTGCTCGCTGAATCCGATAGATGATGTCCCGCACTGAGGCTGGAACTTCAAGCCTGGGGACTTCTGGGATATCTGGAGTATTTCTAGGCTTTGTTTTCACATTAGGAGAATTCTTGATAGCTTTTTCTGATTCAGATTCACCAACTTTCTCATATTCCATTTTGATAAAATGGTGAGAATTTGGTGATCTTATTCTATTTCTGCTTTTTCACAGAACCTAATAGGTAAATATTAACAATGATATCCACTAGAAGCTAAGAAAAGACCTTTCCTGCTCCTAGAAGTCAGTGGGTTACTCTGTTAGAAACTTCTCCTGCCAGGAACCACTGACTTCAAGTTCTGGTGACATCACATTAGAACCATTGTGACATTTGCCAGTGACTTCAAGGTTCTTTTAAAAGGTCTTGCAATACACATTGTCTAGGCCGTTCGAGTAGAAGGGTGAAGAGGTTGGGAGGATAGCAAAGAATAGACAACAGGAGCACAGAAAGAAGCAGAAGACCTAACCCTGCTGAGATGAGCTTAAAACCCACGTGTCAGAGTTCTATTTTTTCTCTCTCCTGAGTTCCTGCTTAAATAGTTTGTGTTTGTTGTGATAAATGATCATGGTGTATTTTCATGGAAGACAGTTTAGCCTTAGCACAGCCATGATACTAAGCCTCAACACCATGTAAAAGAGAGGACTACGAACCCAAGTTGTGTCAGTTGCTGAGCTTGGTTAGCAAACCGTGCACCACCACTTGTTACTTTCATAACCTTCAGCAATTCTGTAATGGTTAAACATCTGATGCTTGTTCCAGAATGTTCTCTTCTCAGTTTCTGGAGCCTCGATGAGATCACAGAATGACTCTTTTTCCCTTGTCCTGGATCTGCCCAGCAGTACCCACCCACCCTGTTACCCTCTCTCCCCCTGCTTTGGGTGCCATGTGGGACTTTAGCCATTGAGAAACCAGGGGCAAAAGGAGGAGCCTGCTTCCACCTGCTGACCAGCTAACAATAAGTGTGTCCCCTTTTCTGCTTCTCAGGCTATCCTCTGGTGGGTAGGTGGAGTCAGGTAGGCTTATTTCCCACATCTGTAATGAAATAAATGTGATTCTCTTTTTGTTAGATAAGTGGTCATTTGGAAGATGAGATTTTGAGGAAGATGATGATCCTGCTCTTTATGCTTCTATCCAGATGCCTTGTAGAGCTGGGATGGGCCAGGCTGAAGCCAGTAGCCCAGAATTCAACATGGGCCTCCCAAGTGTTCGGATGGATCCCAAGCACTATAGTCAAACATCACCTGCTTCCACGTGATGGAATCAGAAACAGAACCAATACTGCAACCTGGGCACTTCAGTATGGGATTACATCTTAACAGCTACATCAAATGTCCAATGTTTTGCCAAATATCAAATAAATGTTGTATTTACTTACTTATTTTCAATTACTTGAAATGATGTGGGAAGAGACTGATGGAGGCAGAGAGCTTGTGAGTGAGGCAGGAGAGAGAGAGAGAGAATCTTCCATGCACTGTTTGACTGTGCAAATGTCCGCAACAGCCAAGGCTGGGTCTGGCTGAAGGCAGGAGGCAAGAACTCTACCCAGGCCTCCACATGCTTGGGAGCGGGGCAAGTTCTTGAGCTGTCACCTGCTGCCTCCTGGATGAATTGGCAAGAAGACGGATAGAAGAAGTGGAGCAGCCAGGACTTGAACCAGCTTTCTGATATAGGAGGCAGGCATCCCAATTAACACCTTAGCCCGTGGCACTGCGATGCCTACCCTAAAGAGAATTATTTGATACAGTCCCTATTGGTATTAAAAACAAGTATTCTGTCTTATTTTTTAATGTTTTAAGACTTATTTTTTAATTGGAAAGGCAGATGTAAGGAGAGAAGAAGATACAAACAGAAAAATCTTCCATCTGCTGGTTCACTCTCTCAACGGCTGCAGCTCCTGGAGCTGAGCCAATCTGAAGCCAGGAGCCAGGAGCTTCTTTCGGGTCTCTCACATGGATACATACTCCCAGGGCTTTGGGCCATCCACTACTGCTTTCCCAGGCCACAAGCAGGGAGCTGGATGAGAAGCAGCCAGGATATGAACCAGCACCCATATGAGATCTCAGCCGGTGCAAGGCGAGGATTTAGCCACTAGGCACGGGTATTCTGTTTTAAAATCCCTTGGTTTCTTTCTCCCAACTGGCTCAGATCCAATGGGATTCATCAATATTCTCAAATCTCAGTATCCCTCTGGAGGGATACACTACCCAGACTTCCTTTCGAAAAACCCTAGTTTTCCCTCCTGTGGGAATGCCATTAGGGAAATGCCGACTGAAACTACAGTAAGATTTCATCTCATTCCAGTTAGAATGGGTATCATAAAGAGTCAGAAAACAATAAATGCTGATATGGATGTGGGAGAAAAGGTACCTGAGTCCATCGTTGGTGGGAATGTAAACTAGTACAACCATATGAGGGACAGCTTGGAAGTTCCTAAGGGTTTAAAATAGATCTACTGTATGACTCAGCCATTCCAGTCCTGGGAATTTGCCCAAATGAAATCAAATCAGCATATGAGAGAAATATTTGCACATCCATGTTTATTGCAACTCAATTCACAATAGCTAAGATATGGAATCAACCCAGATGGCCATCAAATGATGAATGGATAAAGAAAGTGTGATATACATAAATGTGCAATGGAATACTATCCAATCACAATAAAGAATGAAATCCTGTCTTTTGCAACAAAATAGATGCAACTGGAAACCCCACTAGTTACCTGTGGTAACTAATACACACGGAGTGCAATGTACCCTAGATGGGTGAGGCTGGCCGCTTGGTGTTCGACCATCTACAGCCTTCCTACCCTCTTGAGGAACAGTAGAGGGTTTTTTCTGCTTGTTATTTGTTGAAATCTTTGCCAAGTGAAGTGGTAAGCCTGTGATTGCAAAGTGAACTGAAAGCATGACAATGTAAAGATTTTTTAAAAATATGGAAGAAAATATGTGAAACACAAAATGTGTTCACTTTACATAAATATAATTTATAATTTGGCTGGTAAAATGATCATTAATTTATCAATAAATAAAATTAACAAAATTATATATTGAATTATATTACTGATTGTTAAAGTTTTTAAATGGATAATTATGATTTGGCATTATTTCATATTTCTCATTTATTAGGTAACTTCTCCAAAATCATTTGCTAATAAAATATGAAATACATTCTATAATAAACATATCATTTAAAATTGTAAATATACGTTAGTGTAGAGTGAAGAGTGTAGAGGAAGTTAACCAACCCGTTAAAATAATAAAAAGTCCCTTTGAGTACAAACACATGGAAAGTGGGTCATGGGATTGGCAATGACAGGGCAACAGGCATCATACTTACTGCCTCCTGACACTTATGAACTTGACTCAGCTGAAATCAGTGTGATCTACTTCATAAAAGGCAGTGAGGAAGGCAATAAAGTACATCCTAACTTTCAAGAGAAGCACTGCACTTGAATGTCTTGCCACAATTCCAACTTCTGACATTCAAACACATTTCTCCTAGCGTGTACTACAACGCAGAACTAGAAATCACCTGGTCTGTGCCGTCCGTACCTGTGGGGTTGCTAAGGCTTCGGATATCTGTGCTGGTGGGAGGACCAGAGCTGAGGTTTCTGTTCCCTGAGCTGAATTTGAGGGTGGCCACATCACATGAGGCTGTTCAGCTGAGAGAGACCTCTAAAATAACTCACTAGCCACCACTTTGAGACGAGGGATATAAGTACCCCCCCCCCCGCAAAAAAAAAAAAATTAAAATGCTCAAGCGATAAGGGAGAAAAAACATTAAAAATGGAAGAGATGTGCAGCTGTCACTGGTGCAGCCTCTGCATACCTGAAGACCTGGTTAAGTCCTGGCCCCTGGACTCTCTGCTTCCAGTCCAGCTCCCTTTCATGGCTCACCATGTACTTGGGTCTCTGTTCCCACACAGGAAACCCTGATGGAATTCTGGGTTTCTGGCTTCAGCTTGTCCCAGCCCTGGCCCAGCCCCAGCGTTGCAAGCACTTGGCATATGGGCACCAGCATATGAAAACTCTCCTTCTCTTCCTCCACCAAATTAATATTAAACATAAATAATGTTTTAATCTCCATGGTTCAGTTGGGGGTTATGGAAGTTATGGAATTCTAGACGTATTTCTTAAAGATCTAGTCCACCAAAATGGTCTTCCTGTTTTCTTTTGGGTTTAACAGATTTAATTATTTATGTATTTGAAATGCAGAACGAAGGGAGGGAAAGAGGGAGAGAGAGAGAGAGAAAGAAGAGACCTTCCCTCTGCTGATTCACTCCCCTAAATGGTCACAGTGACTAGAGCTGGGTCAATCTGATGCCTGGAGTCAGGAGTTCCTCCCGGGTCTCCCACATGAGGGCAGGGGCCCAAGCACTTGAGTCATGCTCCACTTGAGTCATAAGCAAGGAGTTGGAGTGGAAGTAAAGTAGCTGGGACTCAAGAGGGTGTACCTATGGGATGCCAGCACCTCGGACAGTGGCTTTACCGGCTATGCCTCAACACCCACCACAAGATGTCTAAGATTTTTACCTTAGGGGCAGACGTTTGGAGCAGCAATTAAGACAGTGCTTTAGACAGCTGCGTTTCGTATCAGACTCCTAGTTCTTTTATGTTCTGGCTCTACTTTTGATTCAACTCTTTGTTGATACATACCCAGTGTGGCAGCCAGTGATGGCTCCTGTACTCAGGACCCTGCTACCTGTAAGGGAATCCTCGGCTTGGTTCAGCCTGGTCCAGCCTTGATTACTGAAGGCTTCTGGGGAGTGAACCAAAGGATGGAAGATCTCTCTGTCTCTCTCTTTCTTCCCCTCCCTCACAACCCTGCTCTCCGTTTCCCTCATCTTCTCCCTCCTTTTCAAGTAAAATGAAAATAAATCGGTAAAAAATTCAGAAAGCAAATTTTAAAAGTGCACAGTACTAACCCATAAACATATACACTATTTGCTCAGCTGTGCTTTGAGGGCTGTTTTCTTTTTGTAACGAATGCATGGAGGACACACATCACAGTGACGTTTGGGGATGCAGGGTGGGCATCCCCACATCAAGGGGATGTTAGCTCTTGCAAAAGCAGAGGCACATTGCCCACCCAAGCAAGTTGATGTTTTTAAGCCTGCCTGCTTGCACTGAGACTCACAATTTCATCATTTCCTCGATGTGTTTGGGTTCTGGCATGAGCAGAACTGAAATACTGCTCAGTAAACCCCCTTGGCCTCCTTGTGCAAGAAAGGAAATTCTGACTTGAAGGCGTGGCCATGAATCAAGTTAAAATTCTTACATCTACGGAGTTTGGACTTCCTAAAGTCAGAGTATGTGTTCACCTTGCGGATGCGTTTTTCCTGACTCTTACCACCAAAACCCTCCTGCACTCAGAAACAGGAAATAAAAGGAGAGAGAATGGACTCATCCACATTATCCGTATCACAGTGCACAGGTAAAATCTACACCTCTCTCTTTTTTTCTAGGAATCTTTTTGGTACCAGTTATAAATATGGGAAAAGATGGGCAACAGAAAAATAATTCAGTGAGGGGACAGGTGCTATAAAGCAGTAGGTTAAACCTCTGCCTGCAGTGTCAGCATCCCATGTGGGTTCCAGGTCAAGCCCTAGCTGTTCCACCTCTGATCTAGCTACCTGCTAATGTACCTGGGAAGGCAGAAGAAAATGGCCCAGATTCTCTGCACCAACACAGAGGATCTGGAAGACGCTCCTGGATACTGGCTTTGGATTGCCTCAATTCTTGCTGTTGCAGCTGGTTGGGGAGTAAAACCAGCAGATGGAAGATTCCCCCGGCTTCTCTCTCTGTAACTCTATCAGATAAATGAAATAACTCTTAAAAAAAAACAAAAGACATAAGAAGAAAGACTAAAAACCAAGACAGGAGGCAGAAAGAGAAGGAAAGGGTGGAGCAAAAGAAATGAGAGGGGAGGCGTCACATGGGAAAGGATGTTTTAGAACTGGGAGACTTAGGGAGAATTCTGTGACTGAGTTCATGGGTGGAGAGTGGTAAAGTTAGCAATGGATGATTCTTAAAACGTGCTCCTCGGGGCAGCAGCATCAAGTGCCCCTGAAAACTGGTGGGCTCTGTGTGAGCTCTACCAAGATTGTTCCACATGGAGGTGAGACTTGGCAATCCATGCTTCCTCAAGCTCTGGAAGAAAGCCTGAAGCATGCTGAAACTCAAGAACCACTCAGCACAATTTGAGGCAGGTGGAAGGAAACAAGCACGTGAGTGGATCTCACCTCTCTTCTGTGGCGTGCTGGAGGAAGCCTGACCATGCTTGTGTCTTTCTTTCCGCAGGCAGGAGATGCGTCTCTTCTCAGGCATTCTCGTGGACGGTGGCTGTCAGTGCCATTCTACTTCTCAGTGCCTGCTTCATCACCAGATGTGTGGGTAGGTGCTAATGGTCCAATTCAATATGATTCTCTCTGATTGCATATTGATAGGAAACTCTTTGCTTCCTGGAGGTTCTCTACTCCCATACACAGGCTCCCTGTCTCACTACCGATTTTCTAGCCTACTCCTCAAGTCAGATGTCACAGCTAGTGTAGAACTGTTAGTAAATTTCAGTGACCTTTGATGTGTTTTATGCAATGGACATTTTCATGTCCTCCATGGTTTTGAGCCCTCCTCTCTGTACCATTCCTATTGCTAGTATAAACCTCTATCACTGGTGAGGATCAGAAATGCAATTAGTTGCATACTGAAAGAAGAATAACAAGGATGTGGCTGAAAGGGCACATATATCTTTGTTTTCTCTTAAATAAATTTAATCCTTTGGAAATCAGGAAAGCTGATTTATAAATCTGAATTCCTTCTCTTTCTTTGAGAAGTTGAGCCCCCAGTTCCTGTGCACTTGAGGTCAAACAATAGCAGAATAACCATTAATACTTTCTGAATATGAATATGAAAGTGAGCAGATTTGTTGTTTTTGCAAGAAACGAATCTTCAGCGCTTCCTTTGCCCCTTTCCTTACAGTGACCTATCGTGTCTTCCAAACCTGTGGTGGGACAAGGTCCCAGCCAGATGACGGTGTCACAGGGCTCTCCTGCTACAGCGATGGATTAGGTAACCTGGTCCTCACGGCTGAACATGGGCATCTACTATCAACATTTCCTGGTCTCTACCGTGACCTCAGAATGAGTGAAACAGAGTTAGGCTATAGCTTAATTTTCACAAGCAAAATGTATAATACTTCCTATGCTGCATGTGAATGGGAGGAGTTGGCAAAACCCCAGGATTAGAACTTCGGCCATGAAATGCTGAAGACATTAAACTTTCAGAATCAAACTGAGATGTGTATCTGCACATTAAGCCTAAAAATCGAAGGTCATATCTCCAGGAATATACTTTAAAAAAATGGATCACCTGCTTCCAAAGTGAGGTGAAGGCACAAAAAACCCATAGTGTGAGGACTCTGGGAAGGCTGCTTCCCTCCCAGGGATGGAGCTCACCTCTACCCCACTGTGGGTTTGGTTGACAGTACTTTGCTTCAGTAGCTTAAGAGATAGCTACTTGTAGGTCAGCTAGATAAAATACGTAAATTTCCTGGACCCCAAACCCTACAAACAAATAGGATTCCATAACAAGAGTATGACCAAAGCAGATCGCAGATATGGCTGTATTATTAATGCTGACACACAGATAATGAGGATTATGTTGAAAATTTAAGAAAATTGTTTACCGATGTTACATCAGCGTGAGGTCTTAGATAGTAAAATGCGGGGTATGAACATGAACTTCCAAGGGGTCTGGAAATGACAGGCTGCAGGGGGCCAGATGAAACTGCATCTTTCTTATTTGGTTGACCTGGGTTACTCACTGACCCTTCCCTTCTCCTAGGCTCAGTGAAGAATTGCTGTCCCTTGAACTGGAAATACTTTCAGTCCAGCTGCTACTTCTTTTCTACTGACACTCTGCCGTGGACAGCAAGTTTAAAAAGCTGTGCAAACGTGGGAGCCCATCTGGTGATTATCAACACACTGGAGGAGCAGGTAGCGTGAGTCCAGGCACGCCCCCTTGCACCCCCACCCGGTGTTAGGGTAACACCCATCATCGCTTTCCCCCTGCGCCCAAGAAGCTTTGGTCTTTCAGTGACTACTGGCACAATGGCTGCCCTGAAGGGCAAGCTGTCCCTGCTATTTCCGGAAGCCATCACCTTCACTCACTATTTTTCATTACCAGAAAAACTTAACAAGAACTCCCATGAGAAATTCCTTCATTAATTGAAGAAGTTAGGCAGAAGAGGGGGAAAAAAGGTTGAATGTCCATTTTAGTAAGATTGCTGTGTTTACAAACGTGTATGAAACAGGACAGGTACTAATGGCCATTACCTCTAAGCTGTAATGAGTAACATTATGTGCTGGGTTGCTACAGTATTTGGCTTTCTCTAACCTTAGACAAATTTTTAATGAATCGCCAAGAAGTTCCTTCTCTGGGAAAGGTTAATTTTTTGTTGATCTAGTTTTATATTAAGTGCATTTTACCAATAGGAGAAAAATTAAGACATAATCATCAATGATCAAAATCACCTCAAGTACACTTAACCATCATTTAAGACTCATGACTTCTGACATTTTCTTTCTGAATTATGCTGCTTGATCTCATATCTTGCCATTTTGTCACTTCCATAGGAATTCCTTTTCCACACAAAACCCCCAAAGAAAGAGTTTTATATCGGACTGACAGACCAGGTGGCGGAGGGTCAGTGGAAGTGGGTAGATGACACGCCTCTCGTCAAGTCTCTGAGGTAATTCCCTTCCTTGACAAGAATTTCCCTGCTGCTCCGTATCCTGACTTTGATCAGTGTGGAGGGGATTCTCAGAGTTTCCTCCTGCTACACGAGATGTGTTCGAGCCCATCCTCGGTGGAACAAGTGCAGGGATGGACTGTAAACGAGAGGAAAGAGGGAAGGCCACTCCTCCCTGCTTCCCCACGTCCTGCAGCTGTGTCGGGAGAAAGGAAAAAAAACGTATGGAAATGAGAAGGGGGTTATCCCTCATTAATAAAGTAGGAGAGGCAAAGAGTGGAATTTAGAGCTCTAGGCATTGAAATTGAAGTAAGTGAGGGAAAAAAAGGCAATTTGAGAGATTTCAGATTTCTACATGAAAGTAGAAACTATCGTAACATCTCCTTTTTTCCCTGACGGTGGCTTTACAGCATGAGGACACGGAATTTGGAAGTGTGTAAAGTTTTTTGGCATTCATCATTTCCTCTCACATAAATTACCCCGTCCCAAAGATATCTCTAGTATTATTTATCTTTATTTGCTATTGAAGAAAGTAAAGGCGAAGTGAGTTAAATGATTTGTGTGAGTAACCATCAGGAGTTACAAGAGTGTAGCTGATGTGCTGCGATGCATCATGTAAGCAGCCTAACTACAATCGTGGTGACACCGTTAAAATACCCTCAGTTAACACAAGAAATGTAGAGACCAATGCATTATACAGGACATTGATACTCCAGAAAAAGAGTATCAACCATTCCCATAAATTAGCATTTTGGAACCAAAATGCAAGAAGGAGCATGAGGCTGGCACATAGCATAATAGTTAAGCCAACCAGGCACTGATTCCTGTCCTGGCTGCTCCACTTTTGACCCAGCTTCCTGTTAATGTGCCTCGGAGGGAAAAGAAAGATTACTTGGGCCCCTGTACTGTTTGGGGAGACTCAGAGGAAACTCCTGGCTCCCGGCTTTGGATTGGCTCAGTCCTGATCCATCAACTGGGGAATGAACCAGTAAATGGAATGCCTCTCTCTCAACTTGTAACTCTATTGTTCAAATAAATACCATAAATAAATGAATTAAAGTCATGACGGTCTAGTGGTTTTCAGTGCGCCCATACTCCATGGCTGAGACAAATAGTTGAGCTCTGAAATTCCTTCGTCACTAAAATAGAGGTTATAACATCTGCCCCCCCAACTGTTGGCAAGTCGAATAACATACCTGTAACTTGGTGCTTACATTGGATTGTTTGCCTCCTTTCACCAGGATTTATAATCTCCTCTCTTTCTCAGCTTCTGGGATGTAGGGGAGCCCAACAACATAGTCACACTGGAGGACTGTGCCGCCATAAGGGACTCTACGAATCCCAGGAAAAACTGGAATGATGTATCCTGTTTCTTCAATATGTTTCGGATTTGTGAAATGCCGGAGATAAACAATTTGAGCAAAGTAAATCTCTGAGAACAGAAGGCACAACTGAAACATGGAACAAGACGAACATGACAATATCCATGATCTTAAAAATTGAAAATGTGCGGTTCACTGGAGAAGGACCTCATGGTGATGTGTTACTCTGGAGGTCAGCATGGTGCCATAGCAAAGCTGCCACCTGCCATGTCAGCATCCCATGAGGGTGACCATTCATGTTCCAGCTGCTCCACTTCCAGTGCGGCTTCCTGCTAATGGTATGGCAAATGCAGCAGAAGACGGTCCAAGTGCTGGGGACACTGCTGTCCACGTGAGAGACCCATGTGGTTCCTGGCTTAGGTCTGGCCCATACCTGGCCACTGCTGCCATCTGAGAAATGAACTAGCAGGTGGAAGATCTCTCTCTTTCTCTGTATGTAACTTTGGCTTCCAAATAAATACATCTTTTAAAAAGTAATAGTTAGCTACTTGATATTTCTAAAAATAAATTATCTTCAGTGTTGGAATTCATAATGCTGACTGGAGTGCATTTTCTCCACATGAGCCTCAGGTTCTTTAGAATTTCCGAAGTCAACAACACCGTCTGAAGACCCTCCTGGGACGGGTGGCCTGCTCTTTGCCTGAGGGGACAGGGTGACACGCAGGAAAACAAGCCAAATCTAAAGAAACAAGCTCTACTAAACTCTCCCAAGTCTCTCTTCATTAGGGGAATATTATTTTCCCATTCACTTTCCACATTCACCCACTTCTTCAGATTCAACAGGAAATGTAAAAAGATTTCCCTGTTTCTTTCAATCTTTCAAAGTTTTTATTTATATTCACTGTATTTGAAAAAAAAAATGAGAGAGAGAGAAGGAGAAATAAGTGGAGAGGGATCTTACAACTACTGTTTCACTTCTCAGATGCCCGCAATAAGTCAGAGTTAGGCCAGCAAAAGCGGGCTCAGAACTTCCATGGAGTCTCTGTGACTGTCAGGGCCCCAACTACCTCCTTGAGCCTTTACTTTTACCTCCAGAGTGTGCACCGTCAGCAGCGAGCTTCAATATGAACTAGTCCCAGGACAGATGCCGGGGTCAGGATGAGCCCATGTTATAGATGCAGGCTCTGCCACCACTTCCTCAATACCCATGCATCAGACAAATGGGCCATGCCCCAGACATAAGGGCTGAAATCACTCCACTCTGACTACATGTCTGCACCACGTGCGCTTGCACGTCCATTACGACCACTGTTGTTGCAGGCTAGCTGCACCACTAGACCCCAAAGCTGTGGTTCATCTGTGTATACACAAGCTCCACACCAGTCCACAACCACTTCTTAAATGCCTGCTCCTCAGATACCAGGATCACTACCACAGGAAGCTAGTCCACACGAAACCCTGGAGCCGCTACTGGTTGGCATGTGCTTGCATTCTAGACCTAGACTCTGCAGTCACTACCCAAGCACCTCACTGCAACCCAGAGCCCACGCTGTAGCACCTGCCTACAGGTAGGCCCCAGTTGGTGAGCAGCAGCCCTACACATACCCAGTTCCAGACCTAGGAGCCGGTGTTGCTGCATATCTTGACACCTCATCCAGTCAGTCCCTGTGCACCAGGTTGTAGGTCAAGTTCTTTCCCTCACTAAAACTAGTTCATAAAGTATGAAAGAGGTAACCACTGTATCCATCGAGAATCGTAAAAAGCCAAGGAAATGTGTCACAACCTGCATGAATCCATTTTTCATTGTCTTGACTTATAAAGACCACAGTGTTTGAAGGCTGAAAGTCCAAGACTGTGTTGGTCTCATTGGTGGGGTTCTAGGAATAAACAACAACACAGTGGAAGTGTGTGTAAGATGGAGAAATTATACCATAACACAAAACACCAGAGTGTGCAGACACAAATGTCTTCACTGTAACAGTCTTCCCATGAGAACTAACCAGGGTTCACTTCCCAAATGGCCAAAGCTGAGTGGATCTGAAGCCAGAAGCCAGGAGCTTCTTCCAGGTCTCCTGCAAGGGTGGGGTGGCAGGTTCCCACACACTGGGAACTGCTTTTCTAGACCAGCAACAGGGATCTGGATAGGCAGTAGAGCAGTCAGGACTCAAACTGGTGTTCCCATCAGATGCTGGTGTTACAGATGGCAGCTCTATGCACTGTGTCACAACACCAACCCCCTCTACAGAGCTTTTCAAGTGATCATTGTAAGTATAGATTCTGAGAAACATGACTGAAGTTCAGAAAATCTCCCCCATGGTTGGTTTGAGGGAACAACAAAATATGAGAGAAGGGAGAAGTGGTTAGAGGGACACCACCAGCTGTTTCCAGTTCCCTTCAGAGATAGAGAAACAAAACCCAAGAACTGAGTGATGTGATTGTCCAGGCAGGAAAGGCGTTCTCCTGAGCTGTTCACAGGCCAAGCCATTTAAAGACCTCTTTGCTTCTTTCTCCATCTCCAATGTCTGCCCTCTGGGACTGCGAGTAAACCCGGGCTCCATTTTTCTTTGCTTTATTTTTCTCCTTTGTCCTATGTAAGTTTCCCAATTATGGTAGCAGGCCTTAAGGATTACACAGATGGTGGGAGGAAAACCAAAAAGAAGAAATGGCCAAATTAGATACGTCTTTTTTTAAATGATAAGGAGAATGGAAAATGAGGGAAGAAGCAGAATTGCAAGCTGAGTCAGATTGTACTGGCAGACAATGTTAAAACATTTGCACTTGTCTAGGAAGCCATGCAAAACCTAGTACAGATCAGGACCAGGGTTGTGGTGTAGTGGGTGAAGACACCATCTGCAAGGCAGGCACCTGTTAGTGTCCTGATGGCTCCACCTCAACCCAGCTGCCTGTTAATGGCCTGCAAAGTGCTTGCGATCCTGCTTACCATGAGGGAGAGCTAGATGAAGATTCTGGCTCCCAGCTTCAGCCTGGGTCAGCTTTATCCATTGAAGCCATCTGGGGAGTAAACCAAAGATCAGAAAACTTTTCTCTCTCCTCTTCTGTGTAAGTCTGACTTCCAAATAACTAAGAATTTATTTTTTAAAACAAGTAGATACAATAACAACTACTAAGGACTCAAAATAAGCGTCCAATATACTCTTAGACACAACGAATGCTTTCGTTCCAACCTGATCTCTTTTAAACGAGTCAGCAATCCGTTTGAAACAAACCCCTTTCCAGAGAGGTCACTCACTAGCATCGTTTCCTTCGAAGTTTCTTATTTCCTTTCTCATTTCTTCAGCAACAGATCGATCATTCAGCAGCATGCTATTTAACTTCATGTTGTAAATTTTCTATTACTGTTCCTGTTGTTGATTTTGATCTATGGCTTGTCATTGGGGGGTGTGTATAGTAACTGTGTAAGAGAGACTGTCACAACCAGTTCTGAAGGTGCAATGCAGTAGGCATCTCTACTTCCAAATCAAACATGAACTCCAAAAGAAAAAAGAAAAACTGTTCAACATGTCTTGACCTTCGGGCACTGGGATCTCCGCCATTGTCCATACGATGTGAGGACACGATCACACAGCAGAATGAAGGACTAGGCTGCTGTACTGATACGCGGTTAGCCAATACAATGAAGAAATAATCAATTTTTCACTAGCGGTGCTAGAACAATCTACCTGTGAAAAAATTAATCGAAGCAAAACTTTAAGCATTCACAAATTTAACTCAAAATGGAATACAGGTCTAGAAACAAAAAAGTATAAGACTTCTGGAACCCAACAAGGAACGTTTACATGGTTTCATGTTTTTTTTTTTGTTTGTTTGTTTTCTGCGAGTTTTTAGATACAGCACTAAAAATACGACTATGAAGAAAAATGATAATTTGGAATTCATGAAAATCACAAGCCTTTGTTTTATAAAAGATGTTGATACGTTCCACTCTTAGAAATGAACACAAATGCTGGGGCGGTGTTGTAGCGCAATAGCTGAGGACACTACCTGAGGTGCCAGCACCCTCTATCAGAGTGCTGCTTTGAGTCCTTCACCTCTCTGCCTTTACTACAGCTCCCTCGAGGTGCCTGGGAAAGCAGTGGAAGATGGCATCAGCACTTGGGCCTCAGCCGTCCGCAGGGGAGGCCTGGATGGCTTTGGCAAGCCAAGCTGTGTGGCCATTTGGACGGTGCGCCAGCAGATGGAAGGTCTCGCCCATGCTCTGCTTTTATCCATTTATCTTTCTGTGTTACTCCAACCTTCTCTCTCTTCAAATCAATAATTTTTAAAAACAGCACAAGAGTCCACCAAAAGGCACATAAAAGGATGTGCATTTTCCTTTCATTTGATATAAAATAATAAGTATTGCTTCTCTGAATTTCGTCAATTACATGACAATTTACCCTTCTTTCCCTGCACTATGATCATTTTCACAAATCCCTCATTTTGAGATATTAATAGTCCTGTTTTTTAAAAATAGCTCGTATGTGTATGTCTATATCCACGTTAAAGGTGAATGCGGCAAAGTGTTTAAAAATTTTTAAACCTTAAAACTAAAAATAATTATGAAAAAAATCTGTACAAAAATTCTATTTATAGTAACTAAAAGTTAGAACTAACTCAAATGTCATCAATAGAAAAGTTGAAAAATAAGTTAGGTATATATTATTGTACATTTTAACAATCAAATTAAATGTACCACTGAAAAAGATAAAAACTAGGGCTAGTGTTGTGGCACAGAGAATTCAGCCTCTAACTGCAACACTGCATCCCATGACTGTTGATTCAAGTTGTGGTAGCTCTACTTCTCTCTCTCTTTTTTTTTTTTTAAGATTTATTTATTTTTACTGGAAAGTCAGATACACAGAGAGAAGACAGAGAGGAAGATCTTGCATCCACTGATTCATTCCCCAAGTGGCCGCATCATCCAGAGTTGAGCTGATCTGAACTCAGCAGCCAGGAGCTTCTTCTGGGTCTCCCACGCAGGTGCAGGATCCCAAGGTTTTGGGCAGTCCTCGACTGCTTTCCCAGGCCACAGGCAGGGAGCTGGATGGGAAGTGGGACTTAGAACCAGTGATCATATGCAATCCCAGCGCATGGAAGCTGACGACTTAAGTCACTAGGCTACCGCACAGGGCCTGGTAGCTCATAAACCCACCTTGGAAAGCAGCAGCAGATGGCTCAAATGCTTGGACGCCTGCCACCCATGTGGAAGACCTGGAGGTCCTGGTTCCTGACCTCAGCCTGGTCCATCCCAGCTGTTGTGGCTATTTGGGGAGTCAGTCACTGGACGAAAAGCCAGACAAAAGATCTGAAAAGACATTTTCTCTCTCCAGAGAAGACATACAAATTCCCAATAGATCAGTGAAAAGGTGCTTAATACGATAATCATCCTTAATCATGTTAATGAAAATGAGAATGATGCATCATTTCACACCTGTTAGGGTGGCTATTTTCAAAAGCCAGGAGCTAAATGGTGTTGGCAAGGATGTGGATAAAAGCAATCCTTGTCTACTCCTGGTGAGAAAGGAAGTTGGAATAGTCCTTGTGTCTGAAAATAAGACTGCAAAATCCAGTAACCCAACCTCTAAGTACAGAGCTGAAGAAAATAAAACCACTAGCTCCCAGACGCATCTACACTCCCATGTCCACGGCAGTGCCACGCACAACAGTGAAAAAATCCAAAGTGTGTCAATGTAGGAACAGAGAAGGATAAGTGAAGTAATTCAGGGATTGAGAAGCACTTTATTATTCCACTAGTATGTGAATCCAAGAGTCACTCGCACAGCAGCCCAGAGTAGAAAAGTGACCGCCCAAGACTTGGGATGACAGACATGGGAAGATATTGGCCAAAGGTCCAAAACTTCTAGGATCTATTTGGTGAGTACAACCTCCCTATCTTATGCCTTCAGTTTGCATAGAAAGTGCACTTCACATAGTCTCACTGTATACCAAAAGGTTGGCACCTATGGAAGATAACGGATGTGTCAGCTCATTTGATGATCACAAAATACACAAGTATATCGAATAATCACTCAGTACACTTTAAATGTTTATGATTTTATTTGTCAACTATACATCAACGAAGCTGGGAGGAGAAAAAGAAAGGTGAGATGAGTGGAAGAGTCCCATCGTTTCATTCCATCAGCAAACAACAAGCCAAGAGTATCCATCAGAGTCTCTGGCATATGGAAAATGCTCAATAAAGGTTTCCTAATGAGTCAGGAAAGCAGTGTGTTGATTCATTCTCTCCTGGATGGAATAACCGACCATGTGCATAAAACATGATAAGCATTCCTTACACATAAGTAAGCACAGCTGGCTCTGTCTTGCTGGGTGTGAATCCAACCAAACATTCACGGACAACGTTAGTTCATAAGTAGATCTCCGCCATCTCACAAATTGACATTTGACGCTGAGCACACTGGACATCATTCCAGCCCCAGGCGTTCGGAACATAACGAAAATTTAACATAACGCAACGTTCGTTCCGATCGTTGGGTTCACCCTTATGCCAGAATCTAAAAGGAAGAGAAAGAGTAAAAGTGTGCCTTCAGGCAGTGTCGTGAAGAGGATGAGAGATGGTAAGACAGCAGGGAGCTGGTGCTGCACCTGTGGAAATCAGGGTCAGGAGCTCCACCCAAGCTTTCCTACTGTGTGTGCAGTTTTTCCTCTCTCTGCATTTCTAGCACTTGCCTTGAAAATAGAGCCCACATCCTCTGCATTGCTTTGCCTTCTCAGGGGCTGTCTTCCAATTATTCATCACCATGTCCTGGTCTTGGAGGTCAACCCCTAGAGCTTCCTTATAGACCGAAAGATTTCACCCTGGCCCCACCTATCAATATAATTGTTTCATTTTTTACCATACTGCTTTTGGAATCTGAGAAACTAGTTAAAAACTGGTATTACTCTGTGCTTCTCATCATCGATGCAAAAAAAAAAAAGACAATAATATACTGAAACATTTGTATTTTTAAAAGAATTTCATAAATGGAATATGACTTAAAATACAGCATAGTTTTTATCAAAAGTAATTCATGCTACTAATGGCTATGGTCTTAATTAACATGAAGCGTTACTATATTCAGACATGTGCAATAGTTAAGACCTAATAGAGGAGCAGGCGTTTGGCAGAGCAGTTACGATGCTGTTTAAGGATCCTGTATCCTGTATTAGAGTTCCTTGAATATAATTCTCCTCTCTGGCTTCTGACTCCAGCTTTCTGCTAATGTAGACTGTAGGAGGCTGTTGTACTGACTCAAATGATGGGGTTTCTGCCTGGATTCAGAGTTCAACCCAGGGCCAAAGCTGTGGCACAGTGGATTAAGCCAACACCTGTGACACCAGCATCCCAAGTGAATACCAGTGCAAGTCCCAGCTGCTCCACTTCCAATCCAGCTCCCTACTGACACACCTGGGAAATCAGTGGAAAACGGCCTAGGTGCTTGAGTTCCTGACACACACATAGGAGACTTGTATGAAGTGCTGGTCGTCTAAGGAGTGAAGTACAGGATGGGAGAGCTCTCGTGTGTGTGTGTGTGTGTGTGCGCGTGTGTGTATGTGTGCCTCCCAAATCTTGATTCTTTGTTTATTTTAATATTTATTACAAAAGTAAAGGGGTTACAGTTCTATGTGGGGTTCCAATTCTGACTAGGTTATAGGGGGAAAATAAATGTTTTAAGAAAACACAGTCAAATCTGGGTGTGGGAAGCATTGCTGACATTACTGGATGACCCAGATGAATCATCCAAACTCAATTTTGTCATCTGAGAGAAGAGAAAATAATTATGTGTGTCTAACAAGCATTTCTAGACAATAAAATGATTTAAGCCAGTGCCCAAGGTGAAAAGCAGAGTGAGCTACTTCCATTTCCCAGCTGACACGAGGACACTGACAGCCAAGGCATGACCTAGGACCCAGCATTCCTTTCTCTACTCACGTGACGTTTCCATCATATGGTGTCTCATCAACCCACTGCCAACGTCTCCAACCCTCTGGATCTGACAGTCCCACATAGTAACCCAGATTATTTTGCAGATTTGTGATGATGAAATTCTGAAGGAAAAAAAGAAAGGAGCCATGACCCTCCAATTTTTTATGGGAATACTATTTTTAAATCCCAAGCACCCAGTTCACACAACATCATGTATCATCAAGCATAGGGAGTGAACATACAACAGTCTACAAAATCTGCTTAACAATGTTTTAAAATACTAAATATCAGAAAATGCAGCTGAAGAAACAGGTATACACTTGGCAGCCGTAATTTTAACAGCTTGTGTGACTTCAGATATAGAGGTTTGAAAACATTGATTCTTACTATTTGTGTTGGCTTGAAAAATACCACCACATTGGCCCTTCCCCAGCTGTTTCAAAGTCTTTGCCTACCACAGCACCAATGTCTAAAACCCATGGAAACCCCCCTCTTAGCCAAGAAAGCTGTAGGAAAACCAGGTGGAAGTCATGGCTTCACTTTCTGATAGCAAGTACCTCCTCCTCCTTGCTGTTGATCACCAGCAGGTGCGCGGCCATGGCAGAGCAGTAGCTCTGACTCTCATTCCAAGATCTGGAGTCCGAGGAAATCAGATAGCAGCTGGAAGTAAATGGCTTCCAGTTCTTTGGGCAGCAGCTCCAGGTTTTCTCTGTATTAGAAAGAAGGCCATGTAAGTGCAACGTAAGACATCGCTTTTAAAAGTTTGGGGAGTATCCAAGTTAGGGGATGGGGAAATGACACGCTCCTCTTTACTTGGATGATGCAAGGTGCCCCTCCCGCTCTGGTGCCAAGAAAACCTTCTTCTCCAGCAGGGAACAACGACACAAAGCTTTCTTCTCCTGCTGCACTGGCACCTAAGAAAGTCACCCTGGCAGAGGGCACTACTGCGTCACAGGAGGTCACCAGCCACCTGCAATGTCAGGAGAGCTGGCGTAAGGCCCTGCGGCGCCACCCCTGATCCAGGTCCCTGCTGATGTGACTGGGGAAAGTGCAGAGAACAGCCTGCCACGTGGGAAATGTGTCGCTGTCTGAAGGCGCTCTCTCTCTGTGCTTCTCTCCCGCTCTCTTCCCTGTTACTCTTTCAAATAAACAAGTCATCTCAAAAAATGTTTTAAAACCAACTAAAATATATGCTTAAATAAGATCCAGACTTTAAAACACAATATAAAAATGTTCATGGTTCAACAATGACTCATTATACCATGAACTAGGAAATTCATAAATTCCATAGAAAATAATAACCGATAGACACCAACAATCAAGAAAACAAAAATATTTAGAATGTATCTAACAAAAACCTTAAAGTGGCCATGATAAAAATGCTTCAGTAAGGAGCTATAAATTTTTTGTAAATAAAGGAGGAAGTGAAAAGTGTCAGCCAAGAAGTGCAAGACACACAGAATCAAGTGATTTTTTTCCAAGTGAAATACACAGTAATAGAAACGTCCGGAGAATGGACTGAGCAGCAGGACAGCGGCAGGGGAATCGGTGAGTGGGAGAACAGAACCATGAGAATTACCAACTGACCAACAGAGCCTCTAGAGAAAACAGCGTCACGCAGTGCTCCTAATGCCTGTGAGCCCACTGGAAAAAAGAAATGAGGGCTGGCATTGCAGCACAGCAAGAGAGCCACAGCCTGCCCATGCTGGCATCCATGTGGGCACTGGTTGGAGCCCCGGCTCCTTCACTTCCGATGCATGAGAACAGCGCCCTCATGTCCGAATCCTACGGACTTGACAAGCGACATGGAATCTTTAATCAGAACAAAACATTAGCATTTCAGTCACATGGCTTTAACATATGTGTACGTACGAGTGAGTGCTGAAAAAAATCTGAAACGTAGCATGTTCATTTTTCACAGCTATGTTTCTATTTTCTTGCATAATCAAATTAAAGCACATACGCAGAACTTTTAGGTCCTGTGCTGTTCCACACTTGTAGCTTAAAATGACCATAAGACTCCATTTCTTAGTATGATACATCCAGCAATCTTTTGGAAATACTGATTTGGGATCCTCGTAAAGTGTATGGTTCATATTTACCTTTAACATTCTTTTTCAGACACTCCAACGCCGTGTGATTTAGTTCTTTTAAAGTCTTTTTTCCTTCAAGAAGCTGAGAATATTTTTGAAAGAAAACTGGAAAGGAAAATACAGACGGCTCACTTTCCTAGCAGTATTAGGACTTTTTCACCTTTCTTGTTGTTTCCTCGACCTGTTTACAGAACAAACAAAACAAAATGTCTAACTATGGGAGTAGATGGATCCTGACCGGAAACAAAAACCTTCCTCATCAGTCAATGAAGTCCTGATGCTGCTGTGATCGGAACTACACGCATGTCCAGAAATCAAGGTCAGCAGTTGGTGTAGATGAGGCAGGTCCATCAAAACGAGATCAGAGTTACTGTCCACTTTCTGCTTGAGGACTTCGTGTAAAATGCATGTGGCTATTGAACCCCGGGGACAGGCCATTCAAGGTTTGTCTTTAAGAATGCAATTAGCTACTTCTGCATTCCTCTGGAAAAGGGGGAATTTAAAAAGAAACTGAAATGGATCAGGAGAACATTAGATGCTTCCTCTTCTTTTCTGTGCTTTCTCCATACTTGATATAATTGATCGACTCCATAATTGACTCTTCCTCACGTCTCTCCCGATTGAAAACTTAGCCCAGGGATGGGCGTGGATGCAACAGTGCAGTCGCCACATAGAATGCCCCATCTCCTATTGAAGTGCTTGGTTCAAGTCCCCACTCTTCTTCCCACCCAGCTCCCTGGGAATGCACACCCACAAAGGCAGCAGGTGAAGCTTCAAGTACTCGGGCTGCTGCTTTCAAGTACCCTCCTGCTCCACGGGGGAGACCTGGCTGAGCTCTGGGTCCTGGCTTGGCTGTTTTGGCTCTCTCCCTCACTTTCTCACATCCTCTCTCTCTCTCTCTCTCCCTCTCTCTCTCTCTCTGTATATATATATCTATCTATCTCCTTCCCTCCCCTCAAATCAAATGAAAATTAGTAAATGATTTTTTTAAAGTTAAAACTAGCCCACCTCTGCCTACACAAACTGAGTTTTCTCTCTGTTCCCCTTACCCCCATCTGTTCCTCAAACCACTACACTGTGGTTTTTCTTGAACTGCTCCACTAAAACCACACTGCACTGGACCATCACTGTTATTATTTGGTCCCCCCAAAGCTCATCCTGACTGATTTGGTTGTCTCTGTGGTAGAGTGGGTAAGTAGGGCCTCTAACAGGTGCTTGAGCCTTTAAGAGAGAAAGCATCTTTCTCTCAGGGGTGTGTTCGTTATCCAGGAGCTGGCTGCTGGATGGCAAGTCCACCTCGTGCTTTCTCCCTTCTGTACACACTCAGTCTCTTTCCTTCCACTGTGTTCTGAAGCCCTCAGCAGATGCTGAGCAGATACCAGCCTCAGGCGCTCAGATCTCCCCGACCCCAGCACCAGGTGCCCACGTCAACCTCTGTTCCTTTTAGAGTGTCCAGTCTCAGGAGTTTTGTTAGAACGACAGGCAGTAACACGATCAGTGTGTATCTTAGGGCCACGTGTCAATAATCTTCCGATTAGACTTCTTACACTACTTGACCCCAACTGTTTTGTCTCTCAACTCTTGGGATCCTTCTGTTTCATATTTTTGTCTCACTTTTCTGGCCATTGCTTTTTAACCTTTTCTTCATTCATCCACCTCTTTTAAAATGGCAGTCCCCAACATCCCTTTCGTACGCTTCTCATACCATAACCTTCCCTACCCCTTCTCACACTATATCCCTTCCTGAAAAATGTCATACATCCCCATGCTGTCACCTGCTTCCTGTACGTGAATGACTTCCGAAGACCTGGGTTGAAATCTAACCTAGCACATCTCCCACCATACACATCCCTCTGAGGTTCCCACAGTCATCTAAAACTCTACAAACCCAAGCTTACCACGCATCCTACACTGCCTACTTCTTTGGAAAACTTCACAATTGCTGAGTTTACCCAGAATTTTGAGATTGTTCTTTACTTCTCTGGCTTCCTCGTTTCTCATATCTCAAATTCCCTGAGTCTACCTCTTTGGCCATCCAAAGAATTTTCTTCTTATTCTTCAGTAACATAAGCTATAGATCAGGCTCTGTTTCTCAGTTGCATCAGTGAATTAGCCTTCTAGGTTCTCTATTTGTCTCCAGTTTTGTCCTCATATAGCTATGTTCTAGACCTGTATAAAGCATAATTTCTAATAAATTAAATTTGATTGTACATCAATTCCCTCTACTGGCATGCCTGAATGCTGAGGATGGGAGCAGGCCTGGCTGGGGAGCTTAAGGGAAACTTATCTGGATGGGGTTCCAACTGATGCGGATGAGAACTGGATTGGGGGGCAGCGGGCTGGGCTGGACATGGTTATAGCCTCCTTTGGCACAACTGTGGACTGGGTCTGGGAAGCGATGGACTGGGTTAGACTCCAGCCCCCACTGGTACTCATGAGAGCCAGGGTGGGTGTAGAACAGGCCAGACTAGGTCTTGACTCCCACTCAACTATGTGAAAGCTGTGTCTTGGTGCAGACCAGGTAGCACTGGGCTGCAACAACCAACAACAAGAACCAGAATGGGTGTGGCCAGCTGAGCAAGACCACTGTTCATGGCCAGAACATGGACAAAGTCAACTTGGGCCAACAACCCACTGGTGTGCGAGAACTGCCACTGGGAGGAGACTCGATAGAGAAGCTTGGGAAACTCCTTCACTGGGACACAGTCCCAGTAGGAGAGCTCAAGAAGCAAGGCAAGGAGAAGCCCAGACAATGCCAGGTTACAGTACCCACTGGCATCCGTGTGGGTCAGGTCTGGGGACAGAACAGTCTGGACCAGCACATAACATCCACTGGCAGATCTGAGAACAGGGCAGGGTGCAGGAGGGGTCAGGTTGAACCATGACACCAGACAGTTCACATTAGGGCCGGGACAGCAATCAGGCTGGGGTGGGATAGGCTGCAGCACCCACCAGCAGGAGCTGGAACAGGAGCAGACTAGACTAGTCCAGGCTGTGGATGCTGAGGTGAGGTGAGTCATGCCAGCTTGGACCCAATGGGGGCCAGGTACGTGAGTCCCAGAGGTGGGGGATCTGACAGGGCTCAGGTCCTGGGGCCCACCTGCGAGGTGGGGGTGGAGGAAAGGTATGCTGTGTTTGTGAGCCCTGGGGGCATAGGGTCTGGTGAGTCCATGGCTCAGGCCCTTTGGCAGGCCATGAAGTAAATGCCAGGTTTGAAAGCCCCAGGGGCAGGAGATTAAGGGGGGCTCAGGTCACCTGGCTTAGGTTCCTGTACCCACCTGTGAGGTGGGCACCAGGTTCAAGAGCCCAGGGGTGGGGGCAGGGTGTCCATCAGGTTTCGGGTTGCCTGGCTCAGGTCCTTGGGTTCATCTGTGAGGAGGGTACCAGGTCCCTGAGCCCCAGAGGCAGGGAACTTAGCAGGGCTTGTGTTGCCTGGCTCTGGTCCTTGGGCCCACCCACAAAGTGAATGCTGTTTTCGTAAGCCCCAGGGACAGGGGATCCTGCAGGTCTCAGATTGCCTGGCCCAGGTCCCTTTGCCCACCGGTGAGGTGGGTGCTGGGTGCATGAGCCCTGAGGGCAGGGAATGGCAAGGCTCAGGTCGCCTGACTCGGGTCCTTGAGCCCGCCTGCAAGAATGCAACTTCCTCAGTGAAGAAGGCGGTGCAGTGGCTGCAGTCCCTGATCCAGTGCAGAATACCGCCACCCATTTGGTACTGTAGCAGAAGGAGAATAGACAAATTGGACAACCCCAGCCCAAATGATGACAGCAAAAATCCGGGTGAATGGAGGCTTGAGGTCAGCTGTGTCAGCCAGTGGACATCGGAAGGGTTGCCTCACCTTGGACTTGCATTTCAGAACTATCCAAAGCGCTTGAGCAAACCCCCGGAGCAAGCACTACATTGGGACCTTGGGTGGCTCCCCATCCCTGGGGACTGGGACATTTGGCAGGCCGGGTGAGGCTTCTCCTTTATCGCTGCCCTACCCCAAGATGCAGGAAGAAGAAATAGCAAACTTGCAAACAATGTTTCACCCACTTTTCCCTGACCTTCCAACCTCCCACCCTGATCAGCCATGTAATCATCATCAAAAATTAAAAAAAAAAAAAAAATTAAATAGAGGTTTGCTTTTGCTTAACCAGTCTCTAACACAGATACAAGACCCACCCCCCAGATTCCAATCTGAAACACCAATGTGTGCACTCTTCAAATTCTGTTTAAAATTGATCTCATTCCTTTTTTTAGAGCAACTAACTCTGAATCAATGAAAACTCCTCTATTGAATTATGCCCATTCATGTCCCATGAGTTATGTCTTCCCAGAAAAAAAAAATTCTCCCTCACAATTCTAGGTAAGACTATTATTAAATGCTAGTTTCTAACAGAGACCTTCTCTGCTTATGAATTCCACTGGAATACTCACTAATAAACGCGACGAGGAGCGAGACTGCCAGGAGCAGGAGGAATGCCAGCAAAGAGGCCGCGAGGAACTTGGGAAAACCAGGGTTACTTCTGTGAGGCGTTGTCGTCGGTCTGGGCGCTGAAAGGAAAACCAAATTAGTGTTATAAAGAACAAGTGTTGACTCCACTTGCTCTTCCACCCTCTCTTCCTCTTTGCCCTTTGCTTGGATGGCACACAGCTTCCAGGAGGGTGACATTTGAAATGACAATAAAATATCCATAGGAAGAGGGATGAAACGATAATGTTTGTTGTGGAAAGTTTAGAAACTACGTAAAAACACAAACTGCTGTCACTGAGAATAATCTTCATAGTTTTTGTGAATCAGTTTATTTTTTTTTCCATTTTTAAATTTTAGTTTTTTAATAATGGTTACATGGTTGATCAGGGTGGAAAGGATCGAGGTTTAGGGAAAATTCGGTGAATTCATTGCTTCCAAATTTGCCATTTCTTCTTGTTGTTCCTGGGGGAAGGAGAGACCAAGGAGGAAACCACTCATGATTTTCCGTACGTCCTAGTGCCCGGGGATGGGAACCACCACTTCATGTCAACCCAGACTATTCCGAGGGTTCTGTCCAGGTGGTTTGGCTAGTTCTGCAATGCCGCCATTTTCACCGATCCAAGGGTGATGTCACCCTCCCAATGTCCAGTGGCTCCATTCACTGAGAATTTTTGCTGTCATTGTTCGGGGTAGTTGTCCCAATCTGTTCTTCTGCTACAGCCCCAAATGAGCTGCCATATTCTCCTTTATAACAGGGCCTGTGGCCACTGCTTCGCCTTTTTCATTAAGTAGGGCATGTTCTTGCAGGCGAGTCCAATTTCCTGGACCAAGTGACCCAAGCATCGCTGGCTCCCCCACCCCTGGGGCTCACAAACCTGACATCTACCTACTAGGCGGGCCCTAGGGCAGCACGCAGCCCAGCTACAGGCACCTAACCTCGGGGATGGGGTGGTCCTGGAGGCCTGCTGAGCTTCACCCCCACCAGGGATCCAGTGCACTCAGCTCTATGTACCTGTGCCAGTACATCAGCTTCTAAAGATCACATTTATGCAGACCTTCCTATGCAATTAACACATAATAATTAACATTCTTCTCTTGTATACTTCTAGAAAAAACAAATGATTACAAAAAAGACATTGACCTCCATTCATTCATGAGGAATCCTGCATCTGGGCTGATGGCTACAGAAACTGCCTAGTCTTTTGAGCTCCGTCTCCCCAGCCATAAGAGACTAAGTCAACTTCGCAACAACACGCTCTGCGTAGCAAACGCTGGTCACTGGTTCCTCACGGCTCAGTTTCCTAGTGGGCAAAGTTGAAGCTACGACTTCATCATGGAAGCTTTCCCAACTGACTATGTAACTACCTCACCCCTTCGTGTTTTCCTGGAGTTGGCTCACTCTTCCACGACTCCATGAGAGCTGGCAACTTACCTAGATCTTGTTTCTGAGCCTTCCCTTCATCCTTTGCCTCATCATCAACTCCAGCCATTAAAAAATAGAGAAAGAGAAGAAAAAGAGAAAGAAAGAAAACAGCTTTTACCTGCAGCGGAGCCTGGATGGACGCCTGAGGCCACGGTTCCATTGCTGAACTTCACTTCAGCATAAGTGATTTCTGAAGCCATGTTGACAGAGTTTCTGCTTTCTTCAGACAATGTCTCAGGCCTTGCTCAAAATACAATAAAGGAGAAGCACAACGTTGGTAAGTGGTCGACTTCCTATGGTTCAACAGGTGAGAAGAGGTGCCATGGCAACCAGCACCCCCAAGAAGTCTCATGAGAACTGAAACCACAGCGGGGAGCCACTCTGTCCACACAGGCACTGGTTCCAGGCTCAGGACCAGCGCAGCATGACTCAGAGCCTTCAACCCCATGACATGACTCTGCAAACACAGCAAAAGTGGGAACTTGGAGGGCGAGGGAAAGAAATAGAAAGGAAAGGAAAAGAGGAACCAAGCCTTCAAAGAATTCTTTCCTGAGCGCTGAGCTTCGAACTTAGCACGAAATCTGCTTCTGCAGGCAAGCAAACCTGGTGGCAGACAAACCCAGGCGCAGAGACACCTGCCGTTCCCCCCAGTCGTTGCTGGAGAATGGGATCGTTTCTTGGTCCCCCATTTGAAGAGGACCAGGGATGCAAAACTCACATTTCAACCATTAGACGTTTGAGAGTCTCCATCCCCCAGCACAGCAGGGAGGGCAATGCCGGGTCCCATGCACACGGAAGCTGCTGCTCTGTTGGCCCTGCCTTGCTGTGGGTTCCTAAGCAACTCCATCATCAATCTCTCTGGTCACCTCCAGAACTCTGAAAATGACTCTCTTGACCACTTACTGGGGGAAGAGGCCATTCTGTATTCCCCACTTCTCTATCTCACCAGTCCTCATCCATCTCAACAAAAGGCCCGTCAGCTGGGTATGACTTTGCAAAATGTGTTCACCTTTATTTGCAAGTAAGAAACACAGAGAGACCAAAACAGAGACCTTCCACTGACCAGCTCACACCCCAAATTCCCACAGCAGCTGGGGCTGGGAGAGGCCAGAGCTAACCTGAACTCAATCTGGGTCTCCCCCTTGGGTGACAGGAATCCAGCCACCTGATCCAACACCGGCTACATGAACAGGAAGCTGGAACCAGGACCAGAACTGAACTTGGACTCCCATCCACACAGTCCGATATTACACAGAAATGTCTCAAGCTGCCTTTTAGCCTTGGCACTAAATGCTCATCCCATGTTTTTTTAAACACTTATTTATTATTATTACTATTTTCCATGAGACAGTTTGAGAGGTATAGGGATTCCTCCCTCTCCTCTTCCTTCCTCCTCGTTTTACACCAATTCCTTGGGACCCTGCACCCATGTGGGAGACCCGGAAGAGGCTCCTGGCTTCGGATCGGCTTAACTCTGGCCATTGCAGCCACTTGGGGAATGAATTATTGCAGGGAAGATCTTCCTCTCTGTCTCTGCTCCTCTCAGCAGCCACGATGGCCAGAGCTGAGCCGATCCAGAGCCAGGAGCCTGGAGCCTCTTCCAGTTCTCCCACGCAGGTGCAGGGCCCCAAGGCTTTGGGGAGTCCTCCACTGCTTTCCCAGGCCACAAGCAGGGAGCTGGATGGGGAAGTGGAGCAGCCAGGACACAAACTGATGCCTATATGAGATCCTGGCACGTGCAAAGTAAGAATTTAGCCAACTAGGCTACGGCATTGGCCCAGAAAAAGCTATATTGATCCTCAAGCTGAAATTGGTCCCTATCTACTTTGTGATCCATTTAATTACATTTAAAAAAAAATAACACAGGGTGGGGGGCAGTGCTGTGGCTCCACAGGTTAATCTTTGGCCTGCTGGTGCTAATAGGGGCACCAGTTCGTGTCCCATCTTCTCTGCTTCTGATCCAGCTCCCTGCTTATGGCTTCTGCGGCTTCACTGTCACTTCTCTGACTTGCTCACCTGCTAAGCTGTATTTCCTGGCAGTGATGAAAGCCTTCTGCCATCGCCACAGCAACTGCTGCTGTGCCTTCTTCTTGACAGAACGTTGGCCGTCAGCACCACGGGAGCTGCAACTTCGGCATCCAAGTGTCCTCTCTTTAGGGGTCAAAATGTTGATCTCCACTGTTGTAACCACCAAGGTCAGTGTAGTTTTGAACACTTCCAAAATGTCTTTGATCGTTACTGAGTCCCTTGGTAACCGTCCCCCATTGCCACTGTATCTACCACCACCGTGGCTACATCCAGCGCCCCCGTGACCACCTGAACAAACTGTTCCTGACCACAAACACCACTGCCATGACCACCATCTCAGTGTCAGGAACAGCTGGGCCTCCGGTTGGAGGAAGCAGCAGCCATCCTTCTCAGACACGACGTTTACTGCCTTGACAGTGGTGGCCACCCGTGGTAGGGCATTCCCTAAATGACAGGCTTGTCCCTGAGACCAAGGCTGCCAAAGGTGACAAAAGCAAAGCGCCTCTTTCTGCCGCTGCTATGGTCCGCCCCGATTTCAACCAGGCAGTGTTCCCAGGATTCAAAACATTCTCTTAGATAATGTTTGACAAGTGGTGAAGACGCAAGAGGCAGAGAGAGCGCACTCGTGGTTCTTTCCCTAAATGCCTGCCATGCACGGTTGCTGGAGCTGGAGCCCGGGGACCAGGAGCTCAGTCAGCTCTCCCATGCCCGTGGCAGGAACCCAGCGGGAACAGGTTAGTTTGCAATATGGAAAATGTGCAGCTCTGCAATATAGGGTTTTAAGAGTACTTTTGCACTCATGGTATTGATTGCCAAGTCTAATCATCTGGTCATGATACTGATCAAATTCTCAAACAGAAAATCCATGCCATCTTAACTAGTACCTTGCACATGATTCATGCACACATACACACACGATGAGGAAGCAATTGCTGCTGGGTTTCTTACTGGTAGTTATAGGCCATAGAGGTGCTTTAGCAGCATTATGGCTACAAAACAAGGAATGAAGCATTGCTCCTTATGCCCATCGGTGATCCATACCAGGAAGCTGGTGCCAAAGAGGATTTCATTAAAATTAATACATACATATCCCGTTCAAATACTGGCTTAAAGCCTGAAAAGGCATATCCTCCTGGAATTTGTCCCTGCCCAACAAACTCTGCATGAGTTGCCCGTTTGGATGCCATTGGCAAAACGCCCCTGTGGGTTTTCATTTCTTCTTCAATGCCTGCTGTGGACGGAAGCCTGACAGCATTCCCTACGATTGCGCTGAAGTTGCTGGGGGAAGCGTGCCCTCTAGTGGCCCCTTACTACTTCGCAGGGAGCCAGACTACTTCCCTTCTACCTCCCTGCTTGTGGCCTGAGAAAGCAGCTGAGAACAGCCTAAACCTTGGGACCCTGCACCTGCATGGGGGATCCAGAACAATCTCCAAGCTTCAGATTGGCTCAGCTCTGGCTGCTGCAGCCACTTTGAGAGTGAACCAGCGGATGGAAGATCTTCCTCTCTGTCTCTCCTTCTCTCTGTATATTTGACTTTATGTTTAGGGTGTGCAACGTGATGTTATGATTGAGGTATACATTGTAAAATGATTACCACAGCCAAGCTAATTAGCATGTCGATCGCCACATGTAATCGTGTGTGTGTGGTAATATCTGAGCACTCTTCTCTGAGTAAATTGTTAATGATACATTAACTGTAGGCTTCGCTGCATCTTGGGACAGCAGCAGCTACTGTGTGTCCTTTGCCCATTTCCCCCACTGTGTTTGACCAGTATTTGTCCTTCCAGAGCTTGCTCACGTCCTCAAGCGTCACCCACGTGGTCCCTTCCTGTTAAGGATGAATTCCATTGTACACAGGCATTTTCTGGACCCATTTATCCCTCAACAAGCACTTGTGTATCTTGGGGCTTTGTGAAGACTTCTACATGAAACCTAAGAGGGAAGTTGCCTCTTGGAAATCATGACTTCATTTCCTTTTGACATACAAATTACTGCAAACTAAAAGATAAGGCTCTTTTTGATGCACTTTTTAAAAAGAAAATCCCTGCAGCTTTCATATGTATTGTCATGAACATGCTGAAGCTTTCATCCAATCCCTAAGACAGACTACTGGCACAGCTGGTGTATTTTTTGAGGCAATCTGTGCCCTCATCCATAACGGCCGTAACCGACTTAGATTCCCAGCAGTGTTGAAGAGCTTCCCTTTTCTCCACACCCTTGCCAACCTGTCACCTGAGCTTCTGCTCTCCATCCTTACAGGAGTCAGGTGGTACCTTCTGCAGCTCTAACCTGCACGTCACTGATAAGTTCTCACACAGAGTACTCTTATACACACATTGATCATTTAGAAAACTATTCTGATTGTATGATTAAAATAAGGAGATGATCAAAGTATTCCGGAATCACACGGGCCATTTGCACAGAATGACGCCGTTTTGTTTGCTCAACAATGGGGAGGATAACAAGAACAAATACACCTGGGCAAGAGAACTTCCTTCACAGAGTCCACTTCTGACAGTACTGACCAAAGCAGACCACTGTGAGAGAACTCTGTTAAAGCTGTAAGGGCAACACTGGCACAGCTGGCATTCCATGTGACCAACAGTTGGTGAACCAACTGGTTCCACATTCAATCCAGTTCCCTACTAATGGCCCTAACACGTATGTGGGAAAACGATAGAATGTCCAGTTCCTGGCTTTGGTGTGGCCCAGCCCTAGCCATTGTGGGCTTCTTGAGGCCGAGACAGTGAATGGAAGCCCACCCCCCGCCCTGTTCTTCTTTCAACTAAATAAACTAATCTTTAAAAAACAAACACTGAGGCAGTTTTCTAACACAGATGTTAGGAAGATGCTTTTGCAGCGATGTTTCCATCCACTTGGTTCACTCCTCAGATGGTCAATGGCCAGAAGCCAATCCAAAGCCAGGCAGCCCAAGCAATTGGGCCACCCTCCACTGCTTTCCAAGTCATAAGCAGAGAGCCGGATCGGAAGCAAAGCAGTTGGGACTCTTACTGGGTCCACATGGGATGCCAGTGCCGCAGAGGAGGCTTAAGTACTACACCCCAGTGCCAACCCCAAGCTTAAGATATTTTTAATCCTGGGCCCGGCGCAGTGGCACAGTGGTTAAGGTCCTCACCTTGCACGCCTGGGATCCCAAATGGGCGCCGGTTCTATCCTGGCAGCCCAGCTTCCCTTCTAGCTCCCCACCTGTGGCCTGGGAAAGCAGTCGAGGATGGCCCAAAGCTTTGGGACCCTGCACCCGTGTGGGAGACCCAGAAGAGGCTCCTGGCTTCAGATCGGCATAGCATCGGCCATTGCGCTCACTTGGGGAGTGAATCATCGGATGGAAGATCTTCCTCTCTGTCTCTCCTCTCTGTATATCTGCCTTTCCAATAAAAAAAAATAATATTAAAAAAAAAAATTTCAGGAAGTTAAAAGAAAAGATATTTTTAATCTCCTTTTTCTTTGTTTGAACCACTGGTTTTAATGCCTACATTCTTGAGAATTTCCCAGTTTTGCTCTTACTGAATTTCTAGTTCTTGCCATTTTGATAAGATGCTTGATATGACAAGGGAAGCTCTGTTAGCACAGAGCTACAAGCAGAGATCTAGTCTCAACTTATTCCTTGAATGAAACCAACAGCCTGGGACGCCACTGCAGAGAGCGGGCACAGGTGGTACCACAGGCTGTTGAGTTCCAGCTGCTCCACTTGGAATCCAGCTCCCTGCTAATCGCCTGGGAAAGCGGAAGATACACACATGGGCCCCTGCACCCACGTGAAAGACCCAGAAGAAGCTCCTGGCTCCTGAGGCACCCAACTTCAGCCAGTGAAGCCATTTGTGGAATGAACCAACAGCTGGAAATATCTCTCTCTGCAACTCTACCTTCCAAATAAATAACTAAATCTTTTTTAAAAAAAATAACAGCTATTAATGTGTTTTTATTGCCTAACATTCATATAGTCAACTAAATCTAAAAAGCAGTTCAATAAACAAACTAAAAAACACACCATGGTTTTCCTTATTTTAATTACTATTGCACCAATACAGCATATGCTTTATATACATATATTTTAAACTTCCATTTCAATTTTTCAGCAATTCAAATACATAATATATTATCATCTTAAGAATACAAAGAAACCAACGTGGAAGAAGACTGAGAAAACAGGTTCCCAACAGTTAGTCACCATGATGCTACAGCCTTCCTTAGTGTTCTGCACTGGAATTGTACATGCGTTGCCATGGCTCTGCAAGAGAGCTGCTGGGAAGGCGAGGCAATGAACGGGGTGGACCCAAGGTAGCAAAAAGTTAACAAGGAAATCAAAGAGAGCATATATATTTTAAACTAAACATAAGGACTCTCGTAATGTGTACATACAGGTACTCAGGGGAGAAATTACATCCTCCCGTTTCATCCTCACAATTGCTCATTAGCAAACAAAATTATACCCATTCATGTGAATGGGTAGGGCAATTCTCTTCACAGCATTGTAAAATGGCAGGAGAGGAATTTGATTTTAAGATACCCCAGGTGGCGGGTATCAAAGTCACGGGCAAAATTTGTCACAGGTAAGCCTGTGGATCTCTAACTTCCTTCATAAATTACAGCAGGTGTAATAGCAGCTTTTTATGAAAGAGAAACAGACTGAAAAAGAAATATTCGTGGATAGGGGCCAGACACACGGGCAGCAGGGCAACGTGGGGGCTGAGTCAGTTAAGTGCTTTCAACCTCTCTGCTCTACAGAAGTGGTTTAAGACTAAACTCTTCAGCTTAAGGTCAAACAATGGGGCACCTACAAATTAATGCTGTGCTTCAAAGGCAGCAGCCAAAAAGGGCTGCGTGGAATTAAACACACCCCTAGACCTTGGAAAGCACAGCCACCTTGAGCCGCTTTCATCCCAGAAACGCCCAATGTCAAAGATGTTGCACTATTCAACCAACAGAAAGAACAGTGAAAGTGCCACCAACACAACCCTCTTATCACAGAAAGACATGGAAACACACAGGGCGACGTGGCCGCACCCACCCAGGATGCTCACTGAACACGGCAAGCCCGAAGGAGGCCCTATTTACAGCAGGGGAAACACGACTCTTTCCAACCCCTACCCAAACTTTGAATTTGCAAACACTGAGATCGGCCTGCCATTTGTGGAGTCTGGGGTTGGTAGAAAAGGAAGTTTTAGGGTTTTCACCTCTCCTGAAATTGCTCAACAGGACTTCACAGAGGCACACCGGGCCATGAGATGATTTTTTTGAAATAAGTTAAAGAACTTAAAGGACAGAAAACAAATGTACAGATGCTGCAGGTCACTTTGCCCTCAAATGCTCACTGGCCTTTTGAGCACAGCCAGCCAGGAGCAAGTTAACAGCCACGCTCCCCGCCCTGGCAGTCGGCAGGGCACAACACACACTCCCCAGCTGCACGCTGATGACCAACACAGGGACGGACCTCAGTCGGCTCGAATGCAATGGAGAAGCTCGGGAGATTGTCCAGGAATTCGGTTCTTAGGAGGGAAGGGCTTCCTAACTTCCCTCACGGGTTGATCGGTGCCCTCAAGGTCATTTTGATGCTTCAAGTCTGTCCTTAATGTCCTGCCAACGCTATTCAAAACTGGACCCAGTTGGATGGCTGTGGTGGCTGGCTTGGCACAGAGCTGCAAGACAGGAGAACATGGCCCACGGTCACCGACCCATTCATCACTGATGAGGCTCCAAGAACTGCCCCCCAAAAACTTCCGGAGCCATACTTCACAGAAATAATACCAGGGCCAGACAGACTCTACTCAGACCTCACCCTAAACTTTCCAGTCTCACTGTCCCTAGAACTCCTATATGATGTCCTTTTCAACAGCTGAAAAGACCTCCTTGGCTTTCCCACGGCAAAGCTCTCCTTGAGCGGCATGCCTCCCAGCGCCCGTTACCTGGCCGCAGTGCTGAAGTCGCCCCACAAGTCATTGCTTGCAGAGACCGGTGCGGACGCTGCTGTCGGAACAGGCGCAGGGGAATCCAAATCTAAGAGGATATCTGAGCAAAACAGGAAAGAGACATAGGACTTCAGAAACCCTGGAAACCAAAATGCACATTCACGTAGAAACCTGCACCAGATGTTCCAGCAGCTTTAGTCAGAACTGTCCAATCCCTGCAACAACGCAGACGTCCTTCCACGGGGGACGGGCAGACACACTGTGGGCACCCCATCATGGGGGACGGGAGACAGGTAGACACACTGTGAGCCATCCCCATCACGGGGGACGGGCAGGCACACTGTGGGCACCCCATCACGGGGGACGGGAGACAAGCAGACACACTGTGGGCACCCCATCACAGGGGACGGGAGACAGGTAAACACACTGTGAGCCATCCCCATCACGGGAGATGGGCAGGCACACTGTGGGCACCCCATCACGGGGGCTGAGCAGACACACTGTGGGGCATCCCTATCATGGGGATGCACTGTTCAATACATTAAGTGAAAACTTACAGATTCTAATATCTGTTTCTCTCATCTTGGGAAAATTCCTGAGTTCTACTGCTCTCACTCCTCAAATGAGAAGATTTTACTGCATCTGTTTATACTTCCACCAGACAGCACAGAAGATCTAAGCAGAGGCAGGAAGCTAACTGTCCTCTCCCCTTCTCCATCACCCTCAGAAAGACCCAGAAGAGGCGAAGCTGTCTTTCCTGAATGGCCACTGTATTCAATCACTGTGCCAGGTGCCGTCAGGGCACTCAATCCTCTGTCACAGAGCGGCTTCAGAGCTCCATGTTGCAGAAAGGAAACAGACTCTCAGAATTCCAGCGGTGTCTACCAACCACGCTCAGACAGAAACCAGCAGAGCCCCAGTCAAAATCAAGTTCAGCAGAGTCCTCAGACCCCCGGCACTGAGGCAAGGACTGGGGAAGGGATGCTGCCAATAACGCATACTAGCTGCCAGAGAACCTATCTGTCCCGGGACTCTCACTCACCCAGAACCCTGGGATCCTCGCCAGAGGCCACCAGAATCACCTCGTCCATTTCTTAGCAAAAGCGTCAAGGCTCCTTGTTAAACAGGCTTACCCAACTAAAATGTAAGGGACGGCTTCTCGATGGGGGGTCCTCCATTACCTGCATCACCTCCTCCGTGGCTGGACTTTGGAATGGGGGGCGGGGTGACATGATTGCTGATGGCGACCGAGGAAGGCGGGGGGACGGTCACTTTGCTCCCGGGTGGGGGTGGCAGCAGGCTGAGCCCTCCAGTGCCTGCAGGCCTGGGCTTGGAAGTCCCTCCTTTCTTGGTTGTAATATTCTACAGAGGGGAAAGGAAACGAGGAAGAGATGTTGCCAGCTGACGAAAACACAGGGAAACAGAGTTCTTGAAAGATGCACTCACCCCAATACTCAGTTTGATGGTCTGCCCTTCCTTAAAGCCCAGATCCAACTTGGGCCGACTGTCCAGGCCCTGAGATTCTTTGGAAATCTCAGATTCCTGTCTCACCCACCTTTGGGAAAAGAGTGAGTGATGTTAGCGTGGGTCCCCTGGAGGCAGAGCTGGACACTCACAGCTCGGTGTGTCTGGCTTATATGAAATAGAACTCTAAGGAGGAACACGGAACGCACACCGACTCGGGCGTCATCAAAGCAGGCCACGTGAGCACCACGTCCTCCGCCCGACGCTGGGGTGCCGCCTGGGGGACGGGGTGAGAACTCTGAGATGACTGAGGGACGCCCCCAGCTTCAACAAAGCAGAGCTGGGTCTGCTACCAAGGGAGAGAAGTGAAGGTGTGCCGCAGCGCTCCAGGCCAGGGCGGGGCTGGGGGACCACCAGCAGGCACAGAACGTGTCGCATGCTGACCTGAACACAGGCAGCATGCGACACCCCTGCTGCACGCCTCCCGCCACCTCCTAGACACGAGGCAAATCCCTCAGAAGCATGAGCCAAAGACACAAGGGCTCTGAAACCTCCCCAAGCTCTAAGGACAGGAACGAGACGCCGGAAGGAAACGGAAGGGAACAGGGGGACACACTTTGCTAAGAAACTATCTTCATAAATAAAGACGCCAGGGAGCGAGAGAGCACGCCCCCCCGGAGCCCCCCACCAGCGTCACTCACTTGAAGTGATCCTGCAAGGAGACATTGAAGTCAAAGGCATCCCCCCGATCCGAGAAGCCGATGCCAATGAACGCACTCCGCCCTGTGAGACAGACAGACCTGAGCACACGCAGCGTCCTCTGGGACAGACTTCGCCCAATGACCCAAGACAGCCTCAGCAGACTGGTAAATTACATTCACGGAGTACCATCCCACCACAGCTTGCTTTTATAAAAGAAGTTACTAGAATACAGCCATCCTGTTTCTTTCTATATTGTCCAGGTCTGCTTTCACGCTGCCTTTACTCTGCGTGGGCACTGCATCGGCACAACTTATCCGTCACAAAGCCCAGTGCTCCCCTATCCCCACACAACTCATGATCTGTCTGTTGGCCGAGCAGTGTTGCCGCACCACAGAGACAAGATGGAGAACCACTGCCCTAGACATAAGGTGCTCCAGACCAGGCCAGTGGAAAGCACCACAAAACATAAACATATAACACGTGTTCATTTGGGCCCAGCGCAGTAGCCTAGTGGCTGAAGGCCTTGCCTTGCATGCACCAGGATCCCATAAGGGTGGGTGCCAGTCCTAATCCTGGAAGCCCCGCTTCCCATCCAGCTCTCTGCTTGTGGCCTGGGAAAGCAGTAGAGGACGGCTCAAAGTCATGGGACCCTGCACCCTGCATGGGAGACCCGGAAGAGGTTCCTAGCTCCTGGCTTTGGATTGGCTCAGCTCCAGCCGTTGCAGCTGCTTGGGGAGCGAACCAGTGGATGGAAGATCTTCCTCTCTGTATACCTGACTTTCCAATAAAAATAAATAAATCTTAAAAAAAAAGTCCTTAAAAAGAAAGAAAAAGTCAATGGGGACACGCTGTCTTTGAAGTAATTACGTTCCTGAACATTCCATGCAGAACCCCTTACCAGTGCCATCCTGGATCCGGATTACGAAGTAGCGGCTGGAGTCGGCCACGGTCTCCACAGCAAGGCCCGGGTACTGTTCTATCGGCGCCTGCGCGAAGAGCTCCCCTGCAGGCAGAGACAGACTCCTCTGAGCAAAGACAGCCAGAAGCCAGGGTTCCAATAAGTAAATATTTCCAGCCAGCCCCAATCGAAGGTACTTATCAAAGCACGTCAGACCGGTCTCCTTAAGCACAAGGGCCCCGCACTGGTCACCTGAAACTTTATCTTCCAGTTTGATGTAGGCAATCTTCCCTTTGGAGGTGATCCGGAGGCGACCAGTCCAGTCAGGCTGGTCTAACTTCCAGTCAGATGCCCTAGGACGGGAAGACGGAAAGCCAGTGTCAGGTTCGCGTGTCAGGGAGCCGGGGGATCTGCACTCCCCGTCACGGACAGCCTCCTCACGTCACAGTCCACAGGAAACACAGAGCATTGCCACCTGGGGATGGCATGAGGCATCGTTAAGAACATGTGAAAATACAAATTAAAGCAGGTGAGGACTGAACCCATCACAGTGGCGTGACTTCACATCGCAGACCACAAAGCTACGGCTTTGTTGATCAGGCAATATCAACGCCCACTAGAGCCGATCCCGGGCAGCGGGAGCCCTGCCCAGCCCTGTGGCTCCATCACTGAGCAGTGCTTGTTAAGTCACAGAAACTACTGCAGGAGCTCAGAGTACAACCGCCCACGGAGGTCCTGCCTGTGAGGCTTGCACTCCAAGACAGAAGAAACATATGAGACAACGTAGTAACTCAGCTCTCCAGGGGAGACGTGTTTAGAAGAACATGGAGAGGGACCCCGCGGCGTGGCCTAACAGCTAAAGTCCTCACCTTGAACGCACCAGGATCCCATATGGTTGCCGGTTCCAATCCCAGCAGCTCTACTTCCCATCCAGCTCCCTGCTTGTGGCCTGGGAAAGCAGTGGAGGACAGCCCAAAGCCTTGGGACCCTGCACCCGTGTGGGATACCCGGAAGAGCTTCTGGCTCCTATCTCCGGATCAGCGCAGCACCAGCCGTTGTGGCCACTTGGGGAGTGAACCATCGGTTGAAAGATCTTCCTCTCTGTCTCTCCTCCTATCTGTATGTCTGACTTTGTAATAAAAATGAATAAATCTTTTTTTATAAAGATTTGTTTTTATTATTATTTTTTTTATCGGAAAGGTGGATATACAGAGAGGAGAGACAGAGAGGAAGATCTTCCATCCGATGATTCACTCCCAAAGTGAGCGCAACGGCCGATACTATGCTGATCCGAAGCCAGGAGCCTCTTCTGGGTCTCCCACACCGGTGCAGAGTCCCAAAGCTTTGGGCCGTCCTCGACTGCTTTCCCAGGCCACAGGCGGGGAGCTGGATGGGAAGCGGGGCTGCCGGGATTAGAACCGGCGCCCATATCGGATCCCGGGCGTGCAAGGCGAGGACCTTAACCACTGCGCCACCGCGCCGGGCCCCAAAAATGAATAAATCTTAAAAAAAAAATCAGCCTGCTCTAGGCTCACTGAATGTTCATTCCTTCCTGCAGCTGCCTTGGCAGGGCCGACCAGATGATTGTGTGGGCACAGGCGCCCCTCGCTCCTGAAAGGGCAGTGGAAAAGGGCAGTTTCACAGATGGGAAAACCATTTCCTACTCGCTCGTCAATGTTTTCCTTTCACTGAAATCTCCCCAGAAGGCTGGTCAGCGAAAGTCAGCAACAAGTGGCCTCCACTAAACCAAAGCCATCCATTCTCTCTTATCTAGTCGGTGACCCCCCGCCCCTAGGGAAGAGCCTCCCCCAGGGGCAACCTCGAGATAAGGGATAAGGCCTGCTCATCCACCATGCAGGCAGCTGACAGACTGCCACGGAATCAAGGTAGCAGCAAGCGAGCATCTGCTCCGCCCCACGCAGGGAGGGGCTCTGGCAAGGGCACAACATCTTCTGATCTCTTTTCCCAGATGAGGAAATTAAGGTCCAAAAAGAGGGGAAGTGATTTGCCAACAGTAAACCAGCATTCTCCACATTCGCCCAGGGCTGCTCTCATTCACTATTGCAAAAACGGGGTTCGTGGGGAAAGCCTCTTGGAGACCAAGAAACGCCACCGGATGGGACACACACAGGAGACACATAGACAGGACAGTGAGGAAACTGCCTTGCCGTCTCAGAGCAGCTGACTGAAGGCTGTGCGGATGGAAGCAGGAAGTGAAGGCGGAACGCAGGGGGGGACAGAGCAGGTGTTTTCAAGTAGAAGGCACAGAACTCACTAAGTGTCATGCTCTAAACTCCTAAAGTTGCTGTTTTTAAACAATGTTAACACGTTTAGGTTTCTCCATACAATGCCAATGTTTACAGTATTTGCTATGTGCAGCACTGGTGCAGAAGTTCAAGTCCCAGCTGCTCCACTTCCGATCCAGCTCCCTCCTGGATGCACCTGGGAACACAGCAGCAGATGGCCCAAGTGTGTGGGCCCCTGCACCCACAAGGGAGACCTGGACAAGCCTCCTGGTTTCAGACCAGCCCAGCACGGGCCACTACAGCCAGGTGGAGAGTGAACCGGCAGATGGAAGATATCTCCTTCTCTCTCTGTGACTCTGCTTTTCCAATAAAAACAAACAGGCCTAGCGCCCATAACCTAGCACCTAACATCCCTGCCCTTATGGACATTGGTTCTTATGCTGGCGGCCCCGCTTCCCATCCAGCTCCCTGCCTGTGGCCTGGGAAAGCAGTCGAGGACGGCCCAAAGCCTTGGAACCCTGCACCTGTGTGGGAGACCGGGAAGAAGCTCCTGGCTCCTGGCTCTGGATTGGCACAGCACTGACCGTTGCGCTCACTTGGGGAGTGAATCATTGGATGGAAGATTTTCTCTGTTTCTCCTTGCTGTATATCTGAATTTCCAATAAAAGATAAAACTAAATCTCTAAAAACAATCATACAAAAAAACCTCACAACGCAGGTACTTGCTAGTATCCTATAGTAAGAATACCTGGGAATGACCGCTGAGTCCAGCTTCCTGCCACCAGACCTTGCAAGGCAGAAATGGGGGGCCATTTCTGGGTGTCTCCCACTCACGGCCAGCAGACCTGTGCTAGCCTGTTCCCAGCTCCAGTCTTGACCTACACCTAGCCATGGTGGGAAATGTTCAAGTTGTTCCCAGATCAGCCTGAAGAAAAGAGCATAGGAAGCAACCGACTACAGGACTGTGAGAGAACAAACCCAAGGCCACCAGGAACCCTGTCGGCTCGCACGGCCACTCAGGTCCGCAGGCCAGCTCCCCGCAAGCAGCTCCACATCTCTGCCAAGGCTGCAACGCGGCTAAGGATGCAACACGGGGTCCAGGGCACACATGGCAAACACTTTAACCTTTCAGCTCATGATACAAGGAGTCTCTACTAGAGAAGCAAAACAACAGGCACAAGGAAAGGCTAAGTGCTCAGCCACAGTCCCGATGAAAGGGCACCTCGCAGTGACGTGCGTCAGCGAGGGGGAGGAGAGCACCATGTTAGATTAACAACTGCTTTAAGCCTTTCCTGCATTCTTTTGCACCCATCACATGACTTAATTCTTCATACACTCCTGAGAGGTGCCAAACATTAGTTCATTTCTTCTATTCCACACACACACACACACACACACACACACACACACCTAGGAGTTGGAGTAGGCGACTTGCCCCTACGCTGCAGAGGTCAGGGTACATCCTGATATTCTAATATCCATCCAGTAACTATCTCTCAACTATCTGAGGCCCTACAACATTCTCAGACTCCTACTCACGCGGCTGCAAGATTGTCGGTTAGGCCCTGCAGCAAACAAACTGCATTCACGCAGCAGCGGGAAAAAATGCAGGAGAGACCAAGAGGGGAGGAAGGGATGGAGACAGGAAATACAGCAAAATCATCAAGAAATAAAAAAAAAAAAACCACTGGAAACCATGGGGAAACGTAAGATCATCACCTTGCCCGCAGGCGAAACCGAAGGGGAAGAATCAACAGAGAAGGATCACCCGGCCACCCACCCACCCGTGGGCACGAGGTCCTGGAGGCACGCGCGCGCGTGTGGACGAGGAGCCTGAAGGGCGCGGGGGAAAGCCACCGGAAGCTGGCACGCGTGGACGCGGGTGACCCGCAGCAGACGGACATCCCCGAGGGCTCCCGGGGGAGGACGGGCGGGCACGCTCGCTGCAGGACGCCCACTCAAAGCCAACACCGGAGCCGACAGGGCTGCCGCCACCCCCCGGGCCAGCGAGCTGGCACGCCAGGCTGGCAGGGCATGGGCAGGAGGCCGCCGGCGCCCGCGTACCTGTAGCCGCGGTTCGAGGCCCGCGGTGGAATCCGGTACACGCTGACGTCAGGCTTCACACACAGCACGGACTCGTACTCCAACTCGGCCGCCATCTTGGCTCCGCACTCGGCGCCGCCGCTGCGGGCGGGGTGGCTGGGGTGGCGGGGCGTGGCCAGGCGTGCGTCACTTCCGGGCGACGCCATGTTGAAACCTAGGAAACGGTAAGGCTGTAGGGCCCGGGGAAATGGCAAGGATGCCTTCTTGGCGCGTGACTGACGTGATAGACGTGCCGTTCCGGACAAGTGTGTGGCGAAAGAGCCATCTTGCTGCCGGCTGGTGTCGGTGGTTGGTTCGGAACAACCGGGACCGTCTTCAAACCTGGCGGTTTTCTTAAGAGAAACCGCAGTTTCTTGCCAGGGAAGTAGTTCCCGCAGAGCTGGAATCCCACACAGGATACTTGCCAAGAATTGTATGACCGAGTTGTGGCCACGATAGATTTTAACCCTCCATAGTCCAACATTACAGCTATCCAGGCTGATTTGTCTGGCAACACCTGCCGGGCTCAAACTTCATCTTCTAGAATGTTCCACAGTACTTTCACGTAAATTTCGACTAATTCTAAATGCAGTCAGACCCAACTCCTTTTTTTCTTTTTTAAAATTTTGCTGATCTTTGCATAATTGATTAGGACTCAAAAGGTCAAGGGCTACAGGAAAGTGGGGAAGACCATTGTTTCCACATTCTCTTTTGACCTTCCTGTATCTAGGGGAAGTGGGGAGATTGGGAGAGAAGCCACACCAAACCTCTGACCATCCCAGAGTCCCTGATGTGTGGCATTTTTGGAGGGCACTGCTCAAGTGGTTTCAGTAGTTCAACTGTTCTGAAGTGCTGCCAAGTTTGCCATACCAAGCATGATGAAATCTCTTCAGAATCCACTAGCTGACATAGTCCACCTTAGAGTCTCCACTTGCCCAGAGCTTCACTGCCAACACTTGGCTGGGGCAGTTGATCAGTTTGTTCTGTCCTCTTGCTTCTGATGTGGTACCAGGTATCCTATGCAGGCTCCAGTGTACTACCATATTCCCCATGTGCACCTGGATATGCTGTCCACTGCTCCAACTAAGCCACTGAGGAGGCTCAGCTTTGACACATGTACTCCACAGTCAGACCATAGAGCCAACAATTCTCTTCATGGTTGGGGTTCTGAGTGCAGCGGTTCAGTTGGGCAGAATCCCCAAAAACTTTGTCAGAGGTGATCCCTGACCTGATTCTTGTGTTTTTAGGCCAGTACAGGTTCCAGCACAGATTGTCACCCCAATCAGCCTATGCATATGCTGGTATTTGCAATTGCTGGGTCAGTTCTGCCTCCAGCCCCATCTTCTACACAAACCAGAGGGTGTTGGAGCCCAACCTGATCCTGCCCACCTCACACTTGGCCCTCACACAAACCAGTGGGAGCTGCAGCCTAGTTGGAGTGACTCACATTAACCACCACCAGCCTCCCCCCGCCCTGCCCTGGTTCCCAGTCTTGCCAATATGTACAGCAGACTGGTCCAGTCTGTCCTACATCCCATTCAGTTCTCATGTCAATGGGCATTGAAGCCTAGTTCAACCAAACCAGCCCCACTATCCAACCCACACACGTGCCGGGAGGTTCCACTCTCAGTCTAGCCATACCTCCCAGTCCTGGTTCTCATGCTCACCAGACAAAGTAGCAACCCAAAAGGGAGGTGCCCACTGTTTCCCTACTGGGCCAATTCCCACCCCCAGAGCATGCATTCTCCAGGTGGTTCTGCAGTTTGGATGACAGAATTAGCCCCCCAGTGCCAGCATCTGCCAGCTGATGCTGCGGCAGACAACCCAGCCTGGCTTTTTCCTGGTCTGGCTCACATGACACCTGCTGGTCTGGTCTGCTCCCATCCCAACTTACGCTCTTCAGTGGGAGTGGTGATCCAGCAGTGAAAACCCATGCAGCCCCACTATCGGCTATATCCCCTCCCCCCGCCTGGCGTCTCGCATGTGCTGGTGGGTGCTGCAGCCCAGTCTGGCACAGCCTGCCTCACCTCTGCTTTTGCCAGTGGGTGCTGTAGCCTGGTCTAGTCTGCCCACCCGCAATTTCAGCTCAGGTTGGTGTGGGCTACAGCCTAGCCCAGCCAGCACCCAATTCCTGCCCTCTTATGTACTGGCATGTGTTGCAACTGAACCTGACCCAACCCACACTCCATTCTGGTGCTCAGATTCACCAGCAGGTGATGTGAACTGGCCCAGCATGGTTCGCCCCCAACCTGCACCAAATGTGTGACAGTGAGTGTCTTTCCCTGGTCTAGTTTGAGATGCTCCCTTTCTTGGTTCTTGCGCTCACCTGCAGAGACTGTGTCCTGGCAGAGGAGTTTCCCAAACTCCTCCATCATAACCTCTCCCAATGCCAGATTTTGTGCACACAGGTGCATGGCACAGCTCTACTTAGTCTACCTCCTGTCCTAGCAGGAACAATAACTTTTCCTGACCAGCCTTGAACCTATTATTGGGTTCAATTGAACCGTTATTGAACCTATTATTATTGTTGGGTGTTACAGCCCAGTCTAGCATGGTCCACACGCAGATGCAGCTCATACCTGCTCGTCAGGGGCAAACCTAGCCTAGCTCATCATACACCTACCCTGATTCTCATGAGCACCAGTGGGTGCTAGGGTCTAGCCCAGTCCGACACACTCAGCCCCAGTGCCAAGGGACACTGCAGCCATGTCCAGACCAGAATGCAGCTCCCATTCCAGTCCCCGCACTTACCCGTGAAAACCACAACCCAGCCAGGGTGTCCCCTTAGATTCCCAGCCTGATCTGTTCCCAGGTATAGATCTTGCACATGCTCTGACCCAGCTTGGCAATGTCCTCATCTGTCATGATTTTTGCCTTTGGACGTTGTAGCCTAGGCTCCACTGGCCTGACCCCGGTCCCACCACTTGCTGGCAGGTGCTGGAACCTGGCCCTGCTCAGTCTGCTCCCATCCCTGACTCATGCTAACTAGTAGGTGTGACAGCCTAGCTGAGCTTAACCTGTGCTGCAGCCTGGTTTCTGCTCTTGTTGGTGTGCTGAGGTTTGCTCAGCCCTGCCTGATCCACCCCCTCCAAAACCAACCCACACATTAGCCAACAGTTGGAGTTACCCTGCCCAGCCTGCCCAACACAAAGTCCTGGACCACGTGCTCACCAGTGGAAACTATGTCCCCATAGGGGAGTTTCCCAGGTTCCCCTACTCAGCCCACTCCCTGACCCAGATTTTACAATCACCAGCAGGTGCTAGGCCTTTGTCCGGCATAGTCTGCCTCTCCATCTTGGCCTTTGTATGAGCTGGAGGATATTACAGGCCAGCCTGCCCCACACTGTGTTTTAGGATGCACATACAGGTGTTGCAGCTTGGACCTGCCCAGCCTGTTTTTGGCTCCAGTACCGGTGAGTATTGGCGGGTTCCATGTTCACATCTAGTTCAGCCCGACTTTTGAGCTAACCAGGAAAACTTGTATTTCCACAGGGTCAGAGCCACTTATCCCCTGCAGAATCTACCCCCAGACCTGGTTCTCTCATGTGCCATTTAGTGTCATGACCCTGCCTAATGTGGCCTGTCCCCTGTTCCACCACTCAGTCAGGTACTGGGATCTAGCACATGCCCCTAGCCATAGCATTCATGTGGACTGGCATGTGGCAGTCAGTGATGTTCTGCGCTAATAGCCCATCTCAGGACTCCCATGTGGGCTGGTGCATCAACTAACCCATACAGATCTTCCAATCTCTCCCCTCTAAACCTCCGGGTCTCAGTTCCCTCACTTACTGTGAGTACAGTGACTCCATCGCTGGGAGTCACACAGAATTCATTCCTCACCTACACGTACAGTGGCCTTACCATGGATGTCCCTAGGCAGCAGTTACATATCCCCAAGACCCTAGAGCTTGCTGTAGGGCAGCCAGCAGGAGAAACCTGGTGCCACTTGGCACACTGGCCACCTAAAGCCCAGGACTTGCTCACCACTTGGCAGCAGTGGCCATGGCCAGGGTCCCAAGCATTGAGTCCAACCTGGCTCAGGTACCCCAAACTCCTTAACACAAATTCAAGAAGCGTAATATGCTAATGTCCACTATTTGCTGTCAGTTCTGCTACAATGATACATCCTAAGGAACACTGTGAAATTTAAATATAAACATAACTAATTTATGAACGACCAAATAAGCAAGTGGGAAAACCTTGCAGACCAAAGCAGTAGTGACCTCAGTAAGGTTGGCTGGTTGAAAATTCCTCTCTTGGGCCCGGCGCGGTGGCGCAAGTGGTTAAGTCCTCGCCTTGCACGCCCGGGATCCCATATGGGCGCCGGTTCTAATCCCGGCAGCCCCGCTTCCCTTCCAGCTCCCTGCCTGTGGCCTGGGATGGCAGTTGAGGACGGCCCAAAGCTTTGGGAACCTGCACCCGCGTGGGAGACCCGGAAGAGGCTCCTGGCTTCGGATCGGCATAGTATCGACCCGTTGCGGCTCACTTGGGGAGTGAATCATCGGATGGAAGATCTTCCTCTCTGTCTCTCCTCTCTGTATATCCGCCTTTCCAATGAAAAAATAATAAAAATAAATCTTTAAAAAAAAAAGAAAATTCCTCTCTTGCCCAAAGTCATTGACAATGATGTGAAAAATCAACTTTCCCTGCAACACTGTTAACAGAAATGGGAATGGACACATTTTTAAAGGGGATAATTAGTGGAATGGGTCAAAACATTCATTGTACATAACTTTCAGTTTGGGAATTCTGCTCATGAGTATTTTAGACAAATCTGTGTGTTCAAAAAATATGTTTATTCTGGAATTGTTTGAAATAGTGAATAAATGAAAACTGTATCCACAATAAAAATAATGTTTCTATTATATGAAATGTTTTGCACTGGATATTACAGCCTTTGAAAGAAACTAAAGATTATTGAAAATAAGAAATAGCTGACTGCAGAAAGCACATATAACATTGTCAGTTCAGGTTAGAACACACACTAATTGGGCCCGGCATATTAGCCTAGTGGCTGAAGTCCTCACCTTGCAAACACCAGGATCCCATCCCGATTGCTCTCCACTTCCCATCCAGCTCCCTAATTGTGGCCTGGGAAAGCAGTT